AAAAAAAATACAACCCCCACCCTTTGATTATGGAAAAATTCCACATTCCTCATTAAATTGTAAATAAACCGTGCAGGTCGGCAGAAATTCTTGCAGATCAGGTCTCCCAGACATTAATCTCGACCAGGTTAATCGTTTCCGACAGAAAAAAATTCCAACCTCCACTTAATAATTTCACAATTCTCAAAAAATTTAAGATACATTTTGCAGGTCGGCGGAAATTCTTGTAGGTCAGGTCTCCCAGACATGAATCTCGACCAGGTTGATCATTTTCTACAAAAAAAATTCTAACTGCCACCCTTTGAGTATGGAAAAAGTCCACATTCCTCATTAAATTGAAAATAAATCTTGCAGGTCGGCAGAAATTCTTGCAGGTCGGGTGTGCCAGACATGAATCTCGACCAGGTTAATCATTTCCGACAGAAAAAAATTCCAGCCCCCTCTTAATAATTTCACAATTCTCAAAAAATTGAAGATACATTTTGCAGGTAGGCGGAAATTCTTGCAAATCAGGTCTCCCAGACATGAATCTCGACCAGGTTAGTCATTTTCGACAAAAATTTGAATTTTCTTGTACCCAATACGTGACGGTTGGAAACATTGGTGTAGTAATGAATATTACTGGAGTTCAAGCCTCAGGACACGAATCGTCCGCCATTTTTTTTGCAATTGGGAATGGGGGTCATGAATTTCGACAATGAATAAAAAGTGGGAATGATACTCTTTTCATTTCAATATCCACGTTGAAGTTAAAATTTGGTACAGGGCCATATGTTATAATTCAACAAACACTAAGATCACTATTTACTGAAAAAGAAAATATATGTTTGTATCCAAGATTACATGAAATTAGACTACTAGAAAATAAGGAAACAATGATCTCACAATAAATGAACCCAGAAACCCCTTCACCTGAGGCACTGCAAAATATGATACCTCTACCTCAGTCAGAATCATCCAATTCACAAAAAATATCATGTCACAAATCCACCTTCGGGAAGAAACAGCAACCCATCATGCTCAAAAAATGTTAGTCTACTACATCAGAATATAACGATGCCTAAATAACGCCAAAAACGGACTAGAGGTTTTTTTGCAAGTATAATGGTCGGTAGCCGGGCGGTTCGACGTGGGTGCTTTGTTCACTCAGTCAATCGGCCGATGTGTGAGTCGATGGTTCAAGCCCCAGGTTGAACGCTTGATTTTCACTTGGTATCGTTCAAACCGTGTTAGGAATAACAATTCTGAAGGTTGTCATTCGTAGGGGTGCGAAAGGTGGTTAACGGAAAAAATATATTTTAAACATATATTTTTTAAACATAATATAACTTTTGGGAAAGAAAGGTTTTGGATTTCTATTTCTCCATATTGATACAAAAAAATGTGGGCATCTCCAAAAAAAAAGGAAGAAAGCAATTGATTTCAAAATTAACTCTTTACAAAGATTGTGGATTGTGGCCGCGGTGGTAGTGCGCCCGACTCACGATCGGAAGACTGTGGGTTCGATTCCTGCCTCAACCAGATATTTTCTCGAGAGAATTTATCTGGTTGAAGCTGGGATGATTCTGCAACAAATTTAAACAGATGTGTAGATCATGCAAAGAAGTAGCTGAATATTGGTGTTGAGCTAAATACAACAGGCGTTAACAATTATTGGTTAACAAAAAAATATATCTTGCTTTTGTTGTGAAAAGGGTAAGCATGTTGCTATTTACTGCAGATTTTTACAATGGCCGGACAAGAAATTATATCTGTAATAAATGACTTCGAATGTGCATATGCCTAATTTTGTCTAGACAACAATATATATTTGATAATAAGTATTTATCACCTAAGTGGTGACTTTGAAGTGTTTTTTTCAAAAAATATTTTATCTGCTTTCACTTCTTATAAAACTAACCACTTGTGTATATTTGCAGGAGACTTCAATGTGAATTTTAAATCAGATTAGAAAGAAATGGCAAAATGTTTATAGATGTTATTTTCTTTTGATGCTCCCTTGACTGTTGATCAATTTACATGAGTCAAATCAAAAACTTGTATTGATAACATTATAGTTAAAAATGATATGGAGTTTACTACAGATGTTATATTATATTTTTGCCTCTCCGACTATCGGAAACAATTAATAACCACTAAACTTTTTGTGTCTACCTGTGAGTGTAAATTCATTAGTAGGTAAACGATTTTTCCAGAATGTACAAGATTTTATAATCATAATTGGACAATGTGTCCGGCATGGAGTATATGAATTCAGAGATTCAAATTTAATATGGAATGCTTCAATAGAATTTATTTTTTTTACTCTTCTTTTCCCATAAGTAAAATAAATAGAAACAAAATGCAATACCAACAAAATAAAATACACAAAGAGGTATGAAGATGAGAGTAAAGGTAAGAACACTACAAATTCTGGTTGTCGGTAATAACTTTTTCAAAACTGCTTACGATGAATACAGGGAATCTAGATTACTTCTAAGTATAGTAAAAATCGATGACTTCAACATTCTGATAAAAAAAAGTGATAACAAATCAAAAACTATCTGGAATATTTACAATCTCATTAGTTCAGACTTCCATTGTCTAATATTACATAAAATGATTTGAAATCCCTGAAAGAACCAATACAAATGAAAAAATTAAAAAGAATAGCTGAAAATAGCAAAAAACCCTGAAACGGAATTACAGTGAAATAAAATACAAGTAAAAAAATAGAACAATTTAAATTAAAAATTAAGAAATTCCAAGCCAAGTTACTTAACGAAATTTTGATTGTTATTATATACAATCGTCTTTGGGTGATGACTGGAACAATTCGTCCAAAAGATGACTATTTATGGGTCATTCGAATACTTTCGCTTATCTCCTCTTTCCTCTTTCTACTTCACCGGTTTAGCGAGAGATGACCGTTTAGCGGGAGTCGGCCATTTTTCGCTTGATTATGGGTTTCCATATGTTGCGTACCTCTATGCTTGCTTGACTGAACACATTGTTGGACAACATGTATGCGACGTCTTTGAATTTCCTCCACAACCAAGGTTCCCCCCTGTGTATAATCTCAGCTTGGGACCACTTGATGTTGGGTCCAAACATGCTCTGCTATTCCTGATTCCCTGGTTTCCCCTAGGTATGTGTTTCTTGGGCTCAACAATGCGGACTTTCAATGGCCTCTTAGTTTTACAGATATAGGATTTTCCATCCTACATTGATTTTCAGATATTATACTATACCTTTCCACTGTCATATAAAACCAGCAACTTTTTTTAGAATATTTGTGGTAGAATTTTTTTCAGAAGTAACTGGGTTTTTTCAAGTGTTTTTGTGGGTTTCACCATAGACATATATGGGTTTGTGAGATTCCTGATAAATCTATCAGATATATTCAAAATGTTCTTTTTGTTCGTTTTTTTGTAAACCTAAAGGTGAATTTATGCTCGCATGATTAACATAAAGAAATTAACAAGTTTCAATCAATTGATACCAATCAGTACAGAAAAATTATTAAAGAAATTTTGAGTAGTAGACACTATTACAGTTTGACTGAGTTCTATACGGATAATTTTTAACCTAGCATGTTTCATGTGTATGTATGTTTCAACCATTGTTTGTTGTTTTTTAATCAGTGTTTTTATACTTTAGTTTATTTGTATTGTATTTAATCTATATTTTTTAATTCATAGGACATTTATGTATTTTTTTATATTCATTCACTAACTTTGTCAACAAGACTTTTTCTTTGGACAATAAAATATATATAATAATCAATCAGCAAGGAACAATTAACAAAAACGGCATTTATGCATTTTCACTTAAAAAGTCAAATGTTACAATAAAATAATTTACAAGCATTTAAGCTATTATTAGAAAAAAAAGGCAGTTATAATATGAAATTATTTCAGCGATAAAAATAAACAATACAACCAGCAATGTTTTGAAAACTATTAGGTTAGGTTATGCGTCATTTCTACCACAGTCCACAGTATTATGTAACTAAATTTGTACTGTCTGTGTTATGATATGGGCCAATCATCGATCATTGCTCACTAGATGCGTACTATATAGTAAAAAATCCAGTACAATTAAAGCAAGAAAGTTAAAAGTTGTCAAACTTCCATTCGTCACTTATTACTGGATAGTTATTAATTTTTCTATATAAACGTGTCACTGGAAAGTGAGGAGCTCAACTCATAATTGATAATTGTTACTTGCTACTTACTAATCAAGTGCGCATAAATTCACCATAACAGTTAATACTCACCTTCCTATTTTGAACTTCTTCCAAATTAACTTTTAGTAACAAGTCTTTAATCGAATCCATTTTGGAATATCTATGTATAATTAAAATGATTATCACTACATTAGGACACAACACACTTTATATCGAATAAATATTGGAAATCATATTACATAAAAATTTGAATATTTTCTAATGTATGGATATGTGGACATATGACACTTAACAGATATTATAACTGTACAGGCACAGAATGATTCTGTAGTACAAGTATGGGAAATCATGTCTGTGTATCAAAAAGTTTCCGTCTAAGGCCATTAAATTAGGGAGGCGCCACTATAACAAAAGAGTAAAATAGAAACCCCCGCTTGCCAAAACATTTTGAATTTCACAATAATCCACTAACTGTCAACGTTATCTCACAGTAACTTTGTTAGGTTATATTTACCAAATAATATTCAACTATGTGGATACTTATGTTTATATAATAACGGTTAATAACAATTCGAGACATTGAACATATTGAATATTCGAACTCGTCTCACCTCACGTTCTCTTTATCTGCTTAGTTCATGAATATTACTGGAGTTTTTTTCCCAAAACCGAAACGTTATTTTAACACCTCGACACGTGTTTCGTTCACCAAGTGAGGAAGGGGTTCAATAGGAAGATCTTTCTCTTGAAGATGAAGGGGTGCTGTTTCTTCCTAAAGGTGGATTTGTGACATGAAATTTTTTGTGAATTGGTTGATTCTGACTAAGAGAATGGTTTCATATTCTGTAGTGCCTCAAGTGAAGGGGTTTTCGGGTTCATTTGTTGTGAGATTATTGTTTCCTTATTTTCTATATGTAATCTTGGATACAAACATATATTTTCTTTTTCACTGAAGAGTGATCATAGTGTTTGTTGAATCATAACATATGGCCATGTACCAAATTTCAACTTCACCTTTCATTAATTGTTGAAATTCATAACCCCCATTGAATTGGCACTATTTTGGTCGAATTTTAAACTATAATTTCATGTTTACTAGTGGACACTATCAGCTACATCCCCATTTGAAATGCCTCTCTTTACCTCTACCCTCCATAAGCCACATTTCGGTGTGAAATTATTTCAAATTGTTCGAAATCATTCTATTTTCTCTTTGAAATGATTTCGTCAATGACGTCATATCTGTAAGGATGTTTCAAAAAAATGAATGGTCGAAGGAAGTACTGTCATAGTGTTGGCACGCAAATGATATTATAATATCTATGATAATCGTCATACGTATGTACTTTTGCCACACCAATGACAATAATAAATGATTTTTTTTTAATTTCATAAATAAACGTATAATCAGAGATGTTATGATGTCGTTTGTTAGAATGACGACAAACTTTTATAAGCAATTTTTTTTGCAGTCTGATTTTTCATGACGTTGATACAAAAGTATGATTAAAATAATTTCGAAATCACCTAAACGAAAAATTATGGCTCATTATTCAAAATTCGTGAAAACGTCCTCGACTAAGTTTAGTCGAGTTCCTAAATTCTCCGTTGAGTCAACCGATTGATCCGACGCGACGGATTCATCTATATCTATAGGTACGTTTGAAAGTTTATTGCAAATCTAAGGTGTTTTCTGGCGTTTAATTGTATTCGAGTGTGTATTCAAAAATGATTCGTAGTTATGTTATTGATAATAAGATTTCCAGAATCTTAGACAAGCTTGTCTAAGGCCAGAATGGAATGATTCAATTTATATCAGATGTCAATTTCGAAAATAAAAACAAACTTTTCAATTTTGTCTAACTCAATTATAGTCGGATTTGTGCAAATAGCAATTTTCCAGCTTCATTTTGTACATCCTTACAACGTATTTGATGAAAAGTTTTCAGCACTTTACAAATTAATAAACTATAACGACCAAAATAAAGCAGAAACTGACAACTGACGTAACATAATGACAAATTCCGTTTCAAAACCAACCTCACGTTAGTTTTCGATCATCATAAATACATTTCAAATTATAGTTAACGTAACAAAAACACTTCATTGTGATTGATTTTTGAAAAACGTAAGTAATGAAGTTCAACAAAGAAAAGCCAAATCCAACAAAAAAAATAATAGTTGATGTGACGTCATCGTTTCAACGACAGAATGAATGTATTTGAATCACAGACGAATACGTTTTGAATACATAAGCGCCAGAAAACGCCTGTTGTATTTAGAAACTCGCCTTTTTGTTATTTTCTCAGTTATTACTACACATGGTTGACGAGAAAAAGAAACGAGTGACTAAAACAACACCCGATGCGCATTTAATGGAACTATTTTGCTCTTCCGGTATCGACAATGATAACAACTAGAAACTGATGTCATTATGATAATCTTACAAAAGAATATACACCATAGATATTATTTAGTTGAAGTCAGAACTTCATTCATTTTCAAAATATGTAATGAAATCGCTCGAAATTTGATGAAAATCCATAACGTATTCAAGGAACACTTTATTGTGAGAAATTCACCCGCATTTTTCCAAAAACACAATATATGTTTAGCTATACAATAGCTTTTTCAGGTGAGGATATACAAACTATAGTTAGGACAGTATAAAGATAATATGGTTAAGTTTAGTATAGACACGCCTGAAGAAGCTATTGTATACCGAAATATGTGTTGCGTTTTTGTTAACACTGTGTAGTGAAAATCTCATAATAGAGCGTTTCTTGAATATCATATTCAAAATACATTTTTTGGAAAGAACTTGAATCATCCAATGAAATAGATCAGTTTCAGCTTTTTTACCTACTACAAATAAAGGTATCTGTAGTGTTTTTGTATAATAATCTTTAATGTTTTAAATAAGACGCATACACTTCAGTTACAATTTATTGAATAGCTCGAGAATCGACCTCGGACCCCAAAAACCTGTCCAACATAAGAAAAAATAATAAAACAAAATAACATTCAGTTTTTATACATAGCTAACCAGTGGCAGGTGGTATTCTAATTTACCACAATACCTTTCCCCTTAAATTCAACTCATCAAAAAAAAACATACCAACAATTAAATAAACAATTTTTTTTCCAACTTTATTACACATCCTAGGACTTATTTCTGCTACGGAGGTTATATCTATTTCCAGCTGCCAGGGGAGCATCACTTCCAATAATTGCAGTTTCCGGATCAATAGATATATCTTCCGATACACAAGAAGATTTTTCAATCAAATCAGAACATTGGTTTTCTGTCGCTAATTCAGCAGTAGCTTCGGCTGTTGGATCAGTATAAGATGATGCAGACATACGTGATCTAATTTGATTGGAATGCCTTCGTACAATTTTCCCTTTCTCTAAAGCGATATCAAAAGTAACATTTCCTGATTTTCTGGAAATCTCTCCTGGAATCCAAGTAGGTTCCTTGTTTGAAAAGTCTTTCACTACAACTTTTTCACCTAATTCAAAATTTCTTTGTTTACCTCCGAAATTATCTATCTGGCTCTGAACTTTCAAATCATTAATAAGTTTTTGAGAAGGGCGAATGAGATCTAAACGGGTTTTAATATTTCTGCCAAACATCATTTTTGACGGACTAACTTTCGTCGAACTATGTTCAGCAACTCGATAATCGAAAAGAAATTTTTCTAAAGATTCCTGAATATCTTTTCCTTCCATTGTAGCTTTCTTAATGGCGTTCTTTACCATTTTCACGCAAATTTCGGCACAACCGTTGCTTTGAGCATGATAAGGCGGAGAAAATAAGTGTTTGATACCATTCATTTGTAAAAACGTTTCAAATTCCGCGGAAAAAAATGGAGGGCCATTATCGGAAACTAAAACATCTGGAAGTCCGAAATGAGAAAATAAAAACCTTAACTTTTTTATGACTGATTTTGCGTTAGTGCTTTTCATTTGAAATACTTCAAGCCATTTTGTATGTGAATCAGTAACAAGAAAATATTTCTTATCATACACCGGACCCAAAAAATCTACGTGGATACGAGACCATGGTTTTTGTGTTTGCAGCCTTGTGGCCAAGGCTGCAGTAAAGTTTTATTTGGGTTTTGTTGAAATTGAGAACAAATGTGACACTTTTTACACATTTCTTCAATTTCCTTATCAATGTGAGGCCAATAACAATACGATCGAGCAAGAGATTTACTTTTGTTAATTCCCAAATGACTCGAGTGAATTTCCTTCAGAATTGAGTTTCGAAATTTCTCGGGTACNTCTGGGGCATCGGGGCTACACAAATCCACCATTAATTCGTAGGTAGTATCCCCAACGACCGTGATTAAGGTAGGTACCTTTAGTTCGTCGGTAATACCGTTTGCTATGAAATATTGTTTTACGCGAGCCACGTATGTTTTCCAGCTCGATCCAATTTGGAACTCATTTATTTTGCCGTGTGACATTTTGATTTAGAAACCACTCCCCTCGAAAATCCCATCCTCGTCGCCAATTGTAGTGTTTTTGTATAATAATCTTTAATGTTTTAAGTAAGACGCATACACTTCAGTTACAATTTACCTATTGAATAGCTCGAGAATCGACCTCGGACCCCAAAAACCTGTCCAACATAAGAAAAAATAATAAAATAACATTCAGTTTTTATACATAGCTAACCAGTGGCAGGTGGTATTCTAATTTACCACAGTATCAACCTATTGGTTCCATGCAGAATTGCCGACCCTACCGATTTGGGATATCATCCACTGATTTTTGGGGACGTTATTTCAAAATATATAAACATTATGATATATTTTGATATTTTATTTTCAAATCTGTATCAATAATACGTTTCAAGTGTTGAAAATGTATGTAACACATATTGCATAAAACCTCATATTTAAAAACTATTAACCAGCTGTCACACCCCTAAGGGATTAAGGATTAACGAGGTCTTACCTTTTAACGTGTGATTCCTAACACGGAATTCCATGGTTTCATAATCTGTAAAGAAGTAAATTTTCCGGTCCTATTTGAGTATGACTACTATAAAATGCATTAAAAGTGGAAAAAATACAATGACATTACGCGGACTACAATGAATTTCGAGTCTTGAGACTTATGTCTAAAAAAACCTATGTTAGATGACTATAAGCTGCATCAATAAGAAGCTAAGAGTGAAATCGAAGATATTTCCAAAAGATTCGAGTTTTCTATCAAATCACAAGCACGATTCACAAAGCACGTATATATAGGTGTCTTCTGGCGCGATTGTAGATTTCCCAATAGTATGACACTCAACAACGTGTCTACCAATAATTATAAGAAAGAAGTGTACATTTATCTGTCCAATGAAACAATAATATCCCATTATAAAAAAATCAAAAAATCTAACGGCTTATTTTATAAAAAATTGTGCCGGTAACCTTTGTCTGCCATTTAGAGTAATATTCAATAAATCCATATATCCAGGTAGGTTTTCATTGGAATGAAAAAAAATCTCCAGTTGAAACTCAGTACCTATATATCAAATTTTCTGGAAAGGCGGTTTCACTTCAGTGCCATCCAATGACCCATAACGCTCATATTTTGAACCGTTTTCATTTTCTATTTTCAATAACGAAATGAAACACTGTATTTTATTTTGATCAATCTGCTGAAAGAAGATAATCGGGAAATCTTCAGCAAACTCTGCACGGCTGAAGACTATTTTATATTTAGTCGGGATTTTAAGATTTTCTCAGCATGTGCTATCAATAAACTCACTATTCAAATGAAAGTAGTTGTCTCGAAAGTGCCGATAAAATTTTACTTCTAGTTTATAACTGAAAAAAAAAATTGTTTATTCACTAAATATCTTTATAGTTTTTATTATAGTCATTTTTCGTCTTCCTTTCTTTGGAAATTACGTATATTTTTTTGTCTAATGATAGAAAAGAGCATTATATACCACGACACGAATAAATATTTGAGATATGAAGCTACAAAAACGAACAAAACTCCCTTTTTAGGAAGATTCACACATTTTCTTGTGTGCAACCGAACATGTTGCATTATTGAAATGTATTTTCAGGTTGGACCGTCGACAAAACTCTGTATGTAGAAGTGAATGTCAATAAGTATAGCCCCCTTGAAGGGTTTTACATCACACCAAAGTTCATCGAGTTGATGAAAAGTTTTGTGAATGTGATTATTCACTAAACATTTTATCATAACCTTTATAACAAGGACTGTGGCTGTCCATCGTTATGATAGTCAACTCAGTACACCATGAACTTTACTGTTCAATAACTCTTTCATTTGGATAACTACGTTTATGTGGAATACACTTTCTGAGAACGTTTTTCCAAATGGATTTAATCTCTAGTAATTCAAATCCAATGTTAATCGCCTAAAGGAATTTCCTGTTGTGCTTTTTTCTTAAAAAAAAAATTGAACGTAATTACAATTTTATGTTATATTGCATCAACATGTATTTAGACGGATGTTATAGTGAATTATTTGGGTAGGTTACATAACAATGTTACAAGATAGAAAATGTTATGTTATTTCAATGTATCTGTAACGTATCACATTTACATTCTTTATATTGTATAATTGTTGAGTAGATACATTACTGGAACGTTTGTCAATGATGTGTAGGCAATATAATAGTTATGCTTTTTTTGTGTACCATAATTATATAGTACCTACCTACTTGGCTTTTTTTTTTAATCTTTAGAATTGGTTTTCCTGAGGAAACGCCATCATTTTAAAACATCGTGGAAACATTTTTCACCTAGAAAATGAATTTCAATGTTCTACAAAAAATATTCTTAGGAATAATAAAAATAAATAGAAAATGTTGATACCTTATACTGTTTATTTTAGGGGGGTTTATATTCTTGCACAATCTGAAAAAATAAAAGCTTAATCAATAGAAAATCTGCTAAATTGTAGTAAAGGGCAAATTGAAAATTTCACCCCAAAAAGTTATGGTGTAATATAAACTACTGAAAAGTACAATTAGTCAGTAACTTGTCGCATTCAAAAATTTTGCCTACGAATTGAAAAACTCAATTATTGATACTTAGCTTTCTTAAGTGGTTGACGTTTCGAAAAACAGTCCTTTTCCGTTTTTAAATTCTGAAATTCACTATAAAAATCTTGGCCCAAACAGTGATAGTTCTAATTTCTTTTGACTTGTGTCATGCTATCATATATTACTTACAGTTCTGCAGTTTTGAAAAAGGTTCCCTGGTCTTGTTATAAATTTACTCAAGCCAGCTTTATAACATGTCTTCCAAAAGATTGCAAATACTTAATCTTAACTGGTAATGTCTTTCTTCGGAGAAAACTGTTATTTTCTAAGTTATTGGAAAAATTGTTTTTTTATATTAAATGATGATAGTTAACCTAAATGTTCAATTCTTCATTATTTCAGAAAAATAACATTTTCTTTCACCATCACTCTTCTAATGAAGATAAGACTGGTTTCATGCACCGCTCTCAAGTCACGTCATGAATCCATTTGTAATGTTCAGTAAAAAATAAACACAGTGAAATTGAAGGCTTCCTATATAAAAACACCTAGGTACCTTTAATTGAAATTATATTCATTTGATTATTAACAATGTCAATTAGCACCAATAACATTAACATTTTTAAAGTATTTGGAAAACTAAAACCAGCAAAAAATATTACTAGTTGCACAACACTTCTATCAAATTGTTTATGCTACAATGATGTTTCAATATCATTTGTGTAATATGAATACTCATTACTTGCCAATGATTCCCATTCATGTTCATTTGAATCAAACTCATATAGACTAAGTATGTTTTTTCTCAATTTATTTATCCTTCTCCTTCTAGCCATTAGATAAACCTGCAACCACAAGAAACAGTCCTAGAGAAAACACTACAAAATGCTTACATACCAAAATAGAAAGAATCATTACCAGAACTATCACAACCAGAGGAACTACAACATACTTTGTGTCATCAGGTACAATGGGTTTTTGTGTGGTAGATGTACTACTTGTTATGAATGATTCAATCCTTGAATTCCCAAGAAAGTACATTATAATCCGGTGCGTCCATTTTACCTCATCTTCATCTCTTAAGTGTAACTGTAGAATTGTCTACATTCTGAAGAACCATTCACATCTAAATTTCTATAATATAATCAATTGTTATACTTTGACTTTTTTAAATGTGATTCCTCATCCTTACTCGCCACAAAAAAAAACATAACTTCAAACATCACAGAATGACACAGATCATAACAACTACGTTTGTGACATGTGACTTCTAAGATTTAAGAAAAAAAAAACCAAGACTTCAAGTTCAAAAATCTATAAAAGATCAGAGAACACGAAACGATGGAACGTTAAAAAGTTTTTTTACAAGTCTTGGACTTGGCTAAGTATCTATGCCAGAAAGGAAAGAAATTACCAAACTTTTTTTCAACGAAAATTGTCAGACGTGATTCTTCAAAATTCTCATTGTTCAACGTACTGATTGAAATACATCGAATACTAACTACAAAACATAAGTGAGAACCGCACCAAAATTGGTTAAGCCGTTTTTGAGATTAGCGCCCACAAACGATCAGAGAAAAATTCTAAGAATCATTATTTTGGGTTTATTGTAGATTTTTTTTCTCAAATATCATGCATGTACACAGTTACAATGTTACTGATATTCAAATTTAAGTAGTAAGCATCACCAATAATGATAATCCATGGTGAAATGCATCCGATGTTAAAAAAAACAAAGTGTTATTAACATGTCAGCTCCGGATACAGGGAAACAATCGTAAATGTTGGTCACACTGATTGAACGACGTGACATCTGGCATATGCCGTATGGCAGCAATTGAAACTCATGAAAGTGTCAAATCTGTAATCTGTGTAGGGGTGGTGTCATTATTTCTTAAAACGTAAGTTTTTGGATAAAATGTAGCATTTCAAAGCTTTACATTACCTCCCATTATGCAAATAACACATTTCTTGATTTTGATTTTTTTGTTTTTATCATTTGGATAACTTCACTACTGTAGGTTACATCTCAATTTGTGTGATAAAAATAAATAAAATTGTCTCTAAATCTGCATATTTAAATATTCATTCCACACCAACTGAAAATGAACTTGTAATATAAACTGACAAGTTTTTTTGGTTGAAAACTGAAGAATTACATTTTGACATATTTGGCCAGTGGCGTTCTGCAGTAGGTAGTTTTAACTTGTATATTTTTTTCCAGATTTTTGTGTGGGATTAATGTTCATACAGCATAACGTTATAGCTTGAGAAAATTACTTCAGTAATAAAAAATAGTCCATGAAACTTAGTGTATCCATTAATTTTAAAAAATTGGTGCTGAAAGGAATTTAAAAGAATTGAGGTATATTTCGATCTAGTGTAGATATAGCCTTCATACTGGAATTGGACGATACAAAAAAGGTTTCTGGAATATTTAGGCATGTTACTTATAGGAGAAAAACAAATGGAACACAAGTTTTGAGAGGATTACATTGTCAGGCTTGCAATCCATCAAAAAATAGAAACACGGGACAATCTTGCCCTAAACTTGACTCAGGAGGGTAAGTAGATAATAAGGATAACTAGCAGTATATATATTTTTATGGTATAACTGGCATGTCAATATCATCGAAAAAAAAAAATTAAGTGCTACATTTCACAAAGCCGTAAAAAAGCCAAGGACCACTCTCTATATTTCATTCTATCCAGGCTTTTTTTTTCCAATATCTCAACCTTTTTATCAAAATATTCCTTGTTCTCAGGATTTCAACTTTTTTCTAGAGATCACTTTTTCTCTTGAGATTTTGGACTTCTAATTGAAAAAGTTGAGATTTCCAGAAAAAAGACAAAGTATCCTCTTAAATCAAGTCAAGTTGAAATTAAAAATAAACTGTGATCTTTCTATGACTTAACTTATTTTCCACTCAAATTTAGTACCCTTAGTCATCGATTTTGATATAAATTTTAGCGAGAAGATTATAACTTTTGTAGTGGATTATTTTTTATTTTGGCACATTTTCCTCCTAGGTATTTTAGTGTCTTCTATGTAATATTTTGTTTCTTAATGTTTATATTTAATAAGTATTGAACAACAACTTGTCAGAAAATGTGGGAATCATTGAACTTTCTTGCTGGTGAAAAATCTGAAATTTGAGTATTTTCAAATATTCTATTACTCTGCAAGGCCTAAAATCTTTTGAACCTACTAATTGGACATGTTCTTGGTAACTTCACCTGAAACTGTATATGAGGGATTGTATACCTCAAAAAACAAAAGATTTTTTAATGATATATAATTTTTTGTATTTAAATCTCTGATTGGTATTGAAAATGATTTGGAAAAGAAAGTTTTTGGTTTTCTACTCCATATTTATAACTAAATTGTGGGAAACCTCCAAAGGAAAAAAGCAATTCACATCAAAATAAAACTCTTTACAAAGATGGATAGATCATGCATAGGTTCATTTCTCTTCACTAGTGTTTCCTACTCTGCCATTTTCCAGATTTAATAGTTCTACCATTCCACGAAAAGGAAGTGATTCAAGTACGAACAACAAAGGAAGTACACGCAGCCTCCATGGTTGGACTAAATCCCTAACGAGACACTCGTCTAAATCATCGGGACATAAGAGAACAATTTCCAACGCTTCTACAACCTCTTGTGAGTTGGGGGAGGAGGCTTCCAAGGTGCTCATTGCTCCAGGTGTCTCCTCCCCTGCTATCACATGTTCACAACCTACACCTATACCTAAAAATAATGCTGTAAGTAAAAGGATGAAGTGTCCTTGGAATCCATTATATCGCTATAGACAGCTGTATGGTAGAGTTTTGGCTAACAGGTTGAAAAAATAATCAATTCACACTGCTAATATTTCAGCTTTGGACACATTTCTGTATTAAATAAAAAATTTTGAAACCACTCATACTTTTATTATAGTAGTATTCATCCAGAACATGTACAGAATTTTATTTTATTCATCTAATCCTTTCTTGTGATGATAATTCATTACCATATATTCAGGATGTCTCATAGGGAAGCAGTCAGTTGATCATCTTTTTATTTATCGAATTTCATCTCACTTAAGATCAGTTAGAGAAAAATAAATATAGATCATTCAGTCCAGAATTGTTAGAATTGAATCATTCTTAAATAGCTTTGGTTTTTCTTTTTCACAAATTAATGACTTATTTTGTCTGAGAGACTAGTATGAGTGTCCCAGATCAAAGCAGATATATTAAGACTGAAACAAATCTTCAGACTTTTTCATTAGTAAACCTATCAAATTTAAGCCCCAACTCTCTGCTTGGCACATATTCTGGATAATACCTTATCACAATATTTTCATACAATTTAAACCACTCATATGTTTTCTTCTAAACTTTTTTGCTTTTATCTCATTGCTTTTTCAAATGTATACCAACTTCAATGTTTTTTAACACATTTTTCCTGTTTAAAGAATACCACAAGGAGATTGCTTTCACATTTTGTGAATCTTCGTCGTTGGAATTTTGTATGTATATCTGTAAATGGCTAGAGTTGTGCTGAATGACAGGTCATTGAATTTCTAACGTGCTTTCAATATCATTTATCGTTGCATGTTCACAAGTACAGAGTGGGATTTTACATAGGATAAGATTAACATTACCAAACTGTATAACATTACCAAACAAGTTAGCACAACAAGGAGATGAAATGAGACTTCTTTGTACAAAATTCCACTCAGAAGTATTATTTCATTTATCACAAGCAAAGTTCTGCTTCAGTATCCTATATAATTCCAGTACCATCATTGGTCAGTCAATTGATTCGTTTGGTATTGGAGTTTTTCTTGTCGTAAAATTAAATTTGAACATATTACATAATCTATAAAGAAGAGTTTATTGGTGCACTAGCCCAAATTGAAAACCTTTCAAATAAAAAACTAAAGTTCATCAGCTGTACCATTTGCTCAATTGATCATCATCTTGGATCCATTCCTCCAATGCATAAGGCTTCTAGGCTCATCTAATCTTAAGATTGTGATAAGTGGTATATGTATTTCATATGAGAAGTTGTAAGAGTTTCAAATAGTTGAAGAATATACCCAAGTAAGGAAAAATTATAGTTAGAAAGTTCATCAAATAGGTGAGAAGACGATCTCTTGTTTTAATAATTTTTTAGATGAGAGCATAGATTATCTGAAGAAAACTCTGCGATATCCTATGAGAATATCTTTCTTATTTCAAGAATCTCGAAGTTTTGACCGATCAGTTGAAGCAAATTCACAAAAAGAAAAACAGATATGCTTCTTCAACAATCATTATGGCTTTCTTCACAATCCGCTTATGAACAGATGAGGAATTTTTTATATTGTCCAACAAACGATGAAATTTACCTTACTTCGACAATGGACTATAATAGATTTAAAAATTTAATTCAGCCCGCTTTTATTGTAAATGATGTTATCAAAACCATTTAAGCTTCCACGATCTCTTCAGCTTTTGGAAACTTCAGAAATGTGGCTTTGAAATTTTTTGTATTATAACTCATAATTACAGAATCAATCAAGTATTTCTATTTAAATCTTGGCATACGCATCACTTTTTTCATTATTTTCAGCTAAACCAGTTGCAATGCTCCTAATTTATGATGAATTTGTTGAGATCACTAAATGTTGGGATTGAGAATCTGAAAAAAATTCAGGGATGATCTCTACTTTTCATTTCATCACCCAAAATGAAAAAATCTAATTGCAAATTTGAGAGCTGTGTTATAAACCGAAGTGTTTTTCATGCCAATGAACTTATTATTTTAAAGCTGATATGTAATTGATAAACACATGGGGGTTATTATCTGATCAGCTACCTGAACGAGGCAAGATTTAGAAATTGGATGTTACGTTTTTAGTACTTTTTGACATAACTTGTAATAAAAGTTATAATATTTACATTTTTTTATAGCCGTCAGAAGATAATTTTTATTTCAATTATGTCGAAAAAATTTTTAAATGTGTGTTTTATCCCAATAAAATAATGGATTGTGTAACCTAACTTAAGATGACCTTGACACAAGAATGTAGTTATGAGCGATTATGAATAAGTGATTCAAATTGAATTAGAAGTATTGGTTTTAGTGATGAGTTCACAAACTAACATTCAGACTTCTCAATAAATAAAGATATGGGTGAGGATGATGGCAATCCATATTGTATGTACTACATTTTTAGAAGAGGATCCAAACTGGTATCTCATATTTGTAAATTCTCTAAATCAGGTTTTTTTTTGAAACTCTGGGTATTTTCGAATGAGATGTCTCCTCAAATGAATGAAGGAATCCAATGAAGACACTTCTCTCACACCAAAACTGTAAGACTCTTTCGACGCGTGTTTCATCACTATATTCTATATATCATCTTCTGATGATTTCAACTTGTTTGGGTGAAACAAGTATCGAGAACACTGTTTCAGTTCTGGTTTGTGGAAAAAATGTCTTCGTTGGTTACAACCTTTTATTTTATATTCATATTCTAGTGTTTTGAAAATGTCTCGAATTAAAGACAAAAACTTAACAAAAACAATTTTTTTTGTATGCAAGTGTAAGAGCAGTTAGCATAAAAACTTCTAACACTTTTTATTACTAGGTAGTCCTTTTTATTACTAAGTAATTTTTTTAATAAAAAGGATACTTTATCTTCAGTTTCACTAAAAATTTAGTATCAACTCATCCCAACTATTATATAATATGAATTAGGAGAGATAGTATGATTTGAGTTTCAGGTTGAGCCAGGTTAGTTTTTTTATACTAAAGACATTTTATCATTCAAAAAGTAATAGCTCTCTAGCTTTCAGGCGTAAAATCAAACAAATGATTTTGCACTCCAAATGAAGAAGTTTTGGGTATTAATTTTTTTATCTTCTTCAAAATATATCTAGAAAAACTTAGCATATGCACATTTTTCAAATATCATTTTCGTATTTCACTGACCTCATTTTTCTGAACATCAATCCATTTATCAATAATACACTTTTCCAGTTGGAAATTCAATAGACCAGATTTGCTAAACCTTTAAGCACGCTGAGAACTTTTTGCACATTTTATTTCATCTATTGAAATTTATAGGATCAATAAAAACGGAAAGTAATAAACACAAAATTCATTGTTTTTTTTTTTCGATTTTTTTTTCACTAGGGTGTGGATCTAGGATTTTATGTTCAACATTTCCACATTCAGTACGTTACAATAAAATGAATTATAGTTAGGCATGATACTTTCATTTCTGCCCATTTCATAGAAGCACTTCGCAGAATATCACTGGCTTGAAATAAAGTGTAATGTAAAAGAATAGATATGTTTATCTGTAATGAGTCACCCACTATTATTCATCCTCAAAGCATTTAATGATTTCATGCTATCTGAAAATTCTTGTATGAATAATAGTAATTTTAAGTGTCCAGTTTTGATAATAATATCAACATATGGACTGAATCGATTTATCTTAGTATTGAAATTGTTTTATTTTTCGCCAGATCAATTCATGTATTTATAACTTTAAGACCAAAACAAGTTGTATTTAAAAGAAATAGTTATCCCTGTAATATTATTATGCAAACCTTCCACGGAAGAATTTATTTTCATCTCGACAATTAGGACACTTTTATCTACCTAGTGGATGTATCTATTGGAACTAGATAAATTTTTAAGGTATTTCAGGCTTTATCAAAAGTGATCTAGATATAAATGACTTTATTTTGTTTGTAGGGAAAATTAACCTGTGACAAATCTTTTTCATTTCAGAATGTTCATATGAATATTCAATAATTAAAACTAAGATATATTTATGAGGGTCACCTTTCAATATTTTACACAAAGTAGATAAAAATGTTTGAAACTATATTCATCTCCTTCAAATAATCATTGTTTCATGTGCTGCATATGAGATGGAGTTGGCTGATGTGAAGTTTTGGGTTGTTTTTCTAATGTAACTGAAAACTTTTGATAATTGAATTGATTACCATTCATTGTTATCATTTCTTCAGTCCTATAAAGGAATAGTGACGAAATGTTCAGTGAAGAAAAAAAACGTTGCATTCATTTTCTTGGTATTACTTTTTGTTAACGGACAACTTTTGTGTTATTGAGTTGATCTCGAAATACGCAAACTGTGGATTGTTTCTAGTTTGTATGAATATATCCACATTTTGCAGTTCCAAATTGTATCGTTTGTGTATTGTTTTTAGGAGAGATGAGTTTTTGGGAAAGAAGGATTTTGGCTTTTTACTTCTCCATCTTTTTTAAAATAAATCTGTGGAAACTTCCGAAGGAAGAAAGAAAGCAATTAATTCCAAAATAAACTTTTGAAATCAATTATCATGAACCTCTTTTTTAAACGTCACTCAAATTGTGCAAAATCTGTAGGAAACATATCTATTTTCATACTTGAATGTTTATGTAAAATCGGATGTATTGCAATCCAAAGGTTGCTTGATTTTCGCAGTCCCGCACATGTCAGTTTTTGGCTTTGGCCGTCTTTCACGAAATTCATCATTAAGGAACACAACCACGACGGAATTCTTCAAACCAAGACACGTGTTTTGCTATACAGTAGCTTCCTCAGTCAAAATTTACGATTATCTTGATGCTGCATTTCCGCAATGCTACCTAATGGTTGTTAGTAAAAACTTGAAATGCCAATTTTGTACTAGATTTTTATGATCCCAATTTTTTCCCAAAAAATTGAAAAAAAAATACTTCAATATGAATATTGTGTGATAGATAATTTGGAATCCCTATGCTTGTTTGTCATATGGTATATGTAACTTCGTTTATCTGGATTGTACAAACTTTTAAACTGACTAGTTTTCATATAATGATAGTCGGATGCCTCAAAAACAAGCTGTATAGAACATGGACTTTTGTAGGAATCCCCACTTCCACCAATCAAAGGTAGCGTCTCCACACCTGAAAAACAAGCTTCCTTTGAAACAATTGATAATATTGAATTTATCGATCAGTCTACACCCACAGATATAAGCACTGTGGCAAAAAAGGGCTATCATACTATTGATACAGATCTAGAGCAAAAAAACAATTCAAAAGTTGCTTCTTGTACTGAGGACGATGTTTTTAGGACATCAGCTAACAAACCTTCAAAAGTCAAGGTTAGTATTAATCACTAATTATTGAATTCGATAAATTCTGGGATTCAATTTCAGATACGACCTAAAACCAATGGCAACAAAAAGAAGACTAAGAAAGATAAGGTAAAGCCGATTGTTAATATAGAATTAAGTCCCGAAAGGTCAGAATCAGCAGTGGGAAAAATGGATAAAAACAAACCTTCAAGAGAAAAGACACCACCTAATGAAACTATTACTAAAATACGAACTGTAACAACCGACACAGAAACTACAAAAATTGTAACAACAACTACAAGTTTGAATAGGTATGATTTCAAATTCATATTAACAATGCGAAATTATTCTCGCTCAAAAACATTTTTTTTTTTCCAGATACACTTTCATGAAAATTATGGATGATGATAATGCTTTGAAGCCTGACAAAAAGTTCAGAACGCATAGCTGCAGCAGTATTCCTTATGATAATATTATAGAAAATCTAGCACCCTTTAGAAAAAGATTTTGTAATGTTCAGTTATTTCCAGATAATGATGAAGAGAGGGATAATGAGAACGATGAAGAAAATGATAGGAAAGTTTATGATGAAGAAGATAAAAAACGTCATGAAGAAAAAATTACTGGAAATGATGTCGAAGGTATCAAAAAATTTGACTATATTTTAGTGACCTTTTTTGAGTTACTTGAACTTGTATTCAATTCACACAATCAGTATATTGTTCAATTTATTTAATAAGAGCAAGTTAAGTTTTATAGGTGGATGCTTTCTGGTAAATTGAACAAAGTCTGCTATAGACATTTCATCATTTGTGAGAGAAAAGTTGATATGAAATAAGAATCATTGAAAAAACCGTTACAAAAAAATTCACTTCTTTATCAAAAAAATTATTCCAAAACAAGCGCTCTTCCCTATTACCAAAAATACAATACTCTTCTCGACGTGCTTTTCACCAACAAAGTTGATATTTTCATACAGAGAGAAAAATGTCCATCTTGCCATGAGCTGTTGATAGCAGAGGCTAATGTATCTAATGCAGAAACAGACAAATTCAAGAAAATTTTCGCTGGAACACCATTTTCATTAGAATTTTTTTTTATACTCAAAATCATTTCTTTCAGTTCCTGGATATTGGTGGGAATGAAGTAAAAAGAATATGGGGGTGGTTCAGTTGAAAATCCTAAAGCTGAAAAAAATGTTTGCAATTTTTTTTTCGAGTCTCAAGGACAGACATTCCAAAAAAGAAATGCACTGAATATTTTTGTTAATTATTGCTGCCGGCAGAACTCAAATGTTTTTGTTTTTTATTAAAGGTAACTACTAAAATGCAATTAGGAATTATTATGATGTAAACCTGGGGTGAGAAAATTATGCCTGCATGATCCTAAAAAATATTTCAATAGCACGAAAATGATGAAAATAAAATTATATGAACATGACAGTTCCAAAATAGTCTAATCTCATCAGAAATTGAGATTTTGATTCCAAGTAAAAGTCGTTTCAAAACCCAATAATTCAGTGTCCATTATCAGATATTGATTAAAATTGGTTTTTCCCATTATGAAAAAATAATACAAACTAGTTGCGAATCATATAAATTACAATGTTTTCAACAATAGATATGTTGACATAATTAAAAGATAAAGATGGAAGTATAGAAACAAAGCAAGGATTCATGAAAGGTAATCACTTAATAGTCCTTCCAATCACTACTAAAACAATCAATGGTGATTTCAAAAACCCACTCCTCAACATTCAACGTTATATTTCTCAAAATCCACTTTGTGCTTCATTGGTAGCAGTAAGATTATTTTAAGATTATTTTTTAACCTCATCAAATATCAATCAAATTCTCAAAAGAAAAAATGTCTTATTTCAGACTCGAAGCACTGACAAATTTATTTAATTACTTGAAAATGAAACCTAAAAAACTAATAGTTCAATCATTTTATTTGTTTACTGTCGCTTGCCCAGGCTGTCTTGACTTCTACTGAACTGAATGAATCGTTTCCAAAACCAATCTTTAATTTATATAACAATTATATGTCGCCTATAATATGATCATTCGTTTCTTGATGCTTCATTCACCATATGTCATTCATCTCTAATGCCTCCCATTCATCTCTAGATCCATGGGAGGCACGTAATAACACTTTTAAGCACAACTGGATTCATAATAATATTCACCAAAATATATTTATTCAATAATTAGTGAAAAGCACTATCTAATTCACAATCACTGCTAATAATGTATGGAGAATATTCGAAATTGAAACACAATTTAAATTTTGTGGCCCTTGTAAATAACATAATTCAGGGGTGAAGTTAAATTTTAAAAAAATCGCTGATCATTTTCGATATTTGCAATGAAAAATACAAATTGGTCCTGAATACTATGACTCTTTAATAATATTTGGTGTTATGATAGAAAAAAATTGAAATTTTTTCGTACTTCTAATTTAACCGTTAGCGCCACAAATTTTCTTTTTTTGAGCATCCTATATTTTTTAAATTCACAGTCCAAAAACGTATTGAAAATATAAAAAAATTTTATTATTAAAAGTCTAATTATCACACCAGTAGGTAAAACCATTACTGTATATAGGATTTGAAAAAAACAATTTGCACACTTTAGAGACATTTTTTTAACCGTTCTGAAACTTTTGAGGTATCCTGTATACAAAAATTCTAGTTTAGAAAGGTTGGTAGACAGTAATTTTTGTTTCTTTAGAAATTATTCTGTCAAGTCATTTTATAATCAATGTCAATTCTGATCCAAGAAGTTTTGGTCAGTATTTTACATCTATTCGAAAAAAATTCAACACTAAATTAAATTTTAAGTTATTACATTGCCTGTGATTGAAATTTTCTAAATAATCATTTCGTCCAAGTACTCTAAACTTCGAAAACTATGGAACTTATAAAATGTGCATCACCACAATATACTTGTGGAACATTTGAATCAAATAATTTTTAAGGTATGTTGAAATTTTTCTAAATTTTATAAAAAAAAACAGTCCTGAATGTTATATACAACTAAAAAAGTACAGATCTATCCTAAGCTAAACCAACTTTTTATAGCAATATCCATAATTCTTACTTCAGTTGAACAATTTGTTGTTAGTTTGAGAAAAAGATCATTTTTTCTTTGTTATTTCCATTTCATTAGATATGAATGAGTATGAATTTATAAAGGGCACAAGGTTTTGTAACTGGCCATTTCAAAAACTATTGGGAGTATTGCCTTACCTATCTAAACTTAGCACAAAATATATTTTAATATTTGATTTTCATATTTACCTCTCGCCTCTCGTGTGGATCTATGACTTTGATCTATAACAAAATATATTTTAGACTTTTTTATTTTGAAAGGTAACATTTGTTTCAAATGCTTTCTGTAATGATTTACATCATTTTATTTATTTTTCTTTAATAATTAAAAATCTACTATGGATTTAGCAATTATATTCAACAGGGCTGTAGATTTGGCTGTTGAATCTTTGAACCTTGCTGACGATATAATTTCAAACACTTTGCAACCGAACATATATCCTTTGACACCAAATGATACACCTATCGCTGAAAGGCCAAAACAACACAAGCTGCTGGAAAATAATTCCATGAAAATCAAAATATGAATAGATAAGTACTATTTTGATCACTCCCATATTGATTTAAATTTAAGAGCCACCTGTAGTCAGCTGTTTCAGCCTGTTGGGCATCGTCAGTAAGGTGACTCTCAAATTGAAATCAATATGGGAATTATCAGAAAAGTACTTAGCTATTTATCTTTTGATTTCCATGAAATAATTTTTCAGTAGCGTGACTGCATTAACCTTTCTCGATTTCATATCAATTCTAGAATAGGTGGTTCCACTTATGTCTCGCTTGCGTTTACGCAGTTATTTTTATCAAGTACTTTTCTTGGTTATTCACATTTTGTCTTCAATCGAGGACCGCCTGCCCGGTACTGACTTCTCTAGGATATTAATTGAAATGTTCACTATTTTAAAAAATAGGCATAAATTCAGTATTTCAATTGGTGACGCAGAGAATATCGGAGACTCTAATATAAAACCTAATTCTAATAACCAATCAGTGAAGCGCCTAGGCCTACTTACATCTAGCCCTAAATATTCTTTAATCAACTTGAAAAATGTTGTGAGGTATGCTCGAATTTTTAGTGAGTTTGCCTTTTGTCTATTTAATTTCTTGAAATATGATTAGACCTACTACTACTACTACTTTCAATTATAACTGCATGACAACAAGTAAATAATGGCAATGGACCTATAGGTTCTGGTAGAGGGAGATATCTGCACACGTGCACCCCAATTTACAACTATGTTTGGTAGTGAAGTGTATTATCAAATGCATAACGAGCTCTTGAGTAGTTGATAAAATGCCTTGCGATGACCATATAGAGATTATAGTTCTTAACGAAATCCTGAATATTGCAATTAACCCTCAACTCTGATATATCAGTAGTTGACATTCATGACCTGAGAAATCTAACAGATTGATAATTTTACGATCCTATCTTTTTGGAGGAGAATATTACAAGTTTATATTCAACAGATTTCTCTGTTTGTGGTGAACGCCTCATTCAATAAATGATACTTAACTTTTTCCCTGAGGTTACTCATCTGAAGTACTAATGCCAATATCTCCTTGTTTGTTATCAGTAATGATTATTAGTAACAAATTAATTATCGTTTTATCAGTTATTTTGCCTCTGTTTTTATTATACAGTAATCAGTACCATCATATTACCTAGTCAATAAAGAGTGTTTTGCTGTTCAACGAATTTAAATTGGGTTTGTTTAGAACCACCCTTGTCAGATAAACCTATGAAAATGGATTTTTAATTACTTGTTTACCAGCCCTTTAAAATAACTGATAATATTTCAGTGATCTTCAGATATGTACCAGTAAAATAGCAGAAGAGTTTAGACAGTGAATAGTGGTTGATTAAGTTCTAATGAAGAGCTTGAATATTCTGATATTCTGAGTTTTCAATGGCGAAAAAAAAAGAAGTGAGTTTTGTTAAGAGTTCTCTAAGGGATTTACTGAAGCATTATTCCAATAGGGAGTAGTCTGACTTGTCCATTTTTTTCTAAGTCTTGAGATCACTAGTAATACTATTTGAATTCTATGTAATTTTGTGATTACCTATTTTGATATTTCAGTTTTCTGAACCAGTTTGGATATTTTAATTAGTGTTGTTTCTTATTGAACTTTCTTTATTGTTGTTATAAGTTTTTATAATTTTTAAACATTTAAGCAAAAAAAAAATAGTAACAAATAAAATTTAGAATTCATTCATTGGGTAGTTGTACTAATGAATGAATAATTGTGAATTCTTATTGCAATTGAAGGATTTCGATAAAATATTTGTTTAAGTAACATTTTTTCGTTAATTAACAGATTTATTTTGATAAATAAGCTGTAACCTCTCTGTAGGTTACAATATTCAGAATTAGAATTATTTATTAAAACATTTTATATTATATAATATTTGCAGTATTGTGAACTGTTTAGTGAAAACGAATCTAGGCCAATTTTTCATCAGTGGCATTATTCGCTCGGACCCGTCGATTTTTATTTTGAGAGGGAACATTTTGCCGCCTATTATCAACCTTGTGACTTTCACCCTTTTGTCAAGTGATACTTGATAACTTGATAACTGCAACAATATTACACCTGAAGTGCTTCAGATGAGAAATTGACCTTGTTTCGGTTTCACTGAATAGATTACCATATCGCAACACATCAATATTGACCAACCCCCTCTCTCATTACCACACAACGTCAAGAAGGTGAATTTAAGAGTGTCCTTAATGCCACCCCTTCTTTCTTTTTGATCCTGTCCAAATGTTGATTCCAGGTGGGATCTAGTATCTCCCCAAGATATTTAACCTCTCCTGGCAATTGTATCTCTTTTCGAATTTTTAGTGGTCCAAGTTCCTACATATATTTCATCAGTAAATTTTTCCAGGACTAGGATGACTAAGTCGTCTGCATGGCCCAGTAATAACTTATCCATTACAAGGTTCCATAACAGTGGTACAAGACCCCCGTTGACAGCTCTATGATACCCGTACCACTTCTCTTTCCTCCATAATTGTCGTCAATATCGAAGAAAGTAGCTAAAAAAAATTCATTACCCTTGTAATGATATTCTGCAATTTTTGTGAACCGTGTAATCATTGATATCTGGGCATGAGATTGATCAGTCTCAAGCCCTTCGCCAAATAATGTTCTATTTTTCTAGAATTTGCGTGAAGGAAGCCTTACTCAGCCTCCATGCAGATGCTAAAACACTTTAATGTGATATTTTCACATTATGTATGTATCCTAGAGCCAAACTTGCTAAGGTTTTCTCAGTTTTTGAAATAGAAGTTCGTCTTGCAGCATTACTGGATAAATGCCATCTTGTTTCAGCAACTTATAATAATAATAATAAATCGTCTTTATTCATCTTTGAACACATATGTAAAGAGATAACAATAATAGGTATTCAACAAAGATAAAGTGGCGAAGTGTCACCCATGGGTGTTTTTCAACTTAACCATGGAAATACAATATTAATTTACAATTTTCTTAATTATCTTAGCTATAATATCTACGATGAGTATAATTCTATTACATTGTAGAATAATTTTGCTGTCTGAGATCTATCTATTATATTATTGAAAGTTGTTCATGGTCCATCTCCCTTAATAAACCATTGTCTTCTTCCTGAAGGCTTTATTGTTGATCTGAAGTTCTGTTTTTGTCCAGAACTCCAGTGTCACATTTGTGATTTCCGATCCTGTTAAGTGCAACCTAAGAAGTTCTCTTATAGTGTCTCATTCTGTTTTTGTAGAATTATATATTGAGACCGTAATCCTTCGAAAGTATCTTGTAGTGTCTGGCATATACTCGAGTTTATTCAACCTCGTCTCTAGGGATCTTTTGATCTAAGACAGATCTTAATCTACTGGGAAACCGTCCTGTTTCATTTGTTGCTAACTGTGGGACAGCATTAGGTTTAAGTGAAGATGAAATTCTTTTTAAAAAATATGTTTTTCCGTTAACCAGCTGTCGCATCCCTACGAACGACAACCCTCAGAAGGCGAAACTTGTGCGAGCTAAAGATTAACGAGGTCTTACCTTTTAACGTGTGATTCCTAACATGGGTTAGACGATAGGAAGTGAAAATCGATCGTTCAGACTAGGGCTTGAACCACCGACCAACACGGCAGTCAATTCGAGTGAGTGAACAAAGCACGTTGAACGTTGAACCGCCTGGCTACCGACCCTGCAATCAATCTACTGCCAACTCATCCATAAAACCCTTCATTTCAAAACCCGTCCAGTCTGTTCATGAATTCTCGTTTCGTCTCGTTTGAAATAAGTTTGTTTCGATCAGAACAATTTTCTCTATCAGGCACATTCTATTTCCGGACTTAGTTACTTATATGAATGTAGTACCTGATATTATGTCTATTACTTCCCTGCATGTCTTCTTAGGTTTATTGCATACTTTTAAAACATCTAATTTGTTCGCCTTGAAAAATAAAAAAGTAAGTAAGATTTCAATCCCTTTATGATAAAATAATTTGTATAGGATTAGTCAATGTCCTAAAAATGAAAATAATATCTAGCCTAAATTTATGTTTACAACATTCATATCACAAAAGAGAAACATACATATATCTGTAAAGTGTGAAATCAGTGCACGAAATATTCATCTACAGAATAAAAAACTTGATTCAGTAAAAATTCTTCCAAAGCTAATTTGAATAATTTCAGTTCAGGAATAGATTTCATAGTCAATGGTAATTTATTAAAACTCCTTTGGCCAATTATAGATGAAGAATTGAAAAGGACATTTTTTTTAAAGCTTACATATAGATCATTGAATGCACTTGAGCATTATTTCAAAAATATTTCAAATTGCAGTATACAAATATACAGACTTGAAAAATAAACAGCCATGGCAGAGTTAAGATTTTAAATTCTTTAAAAAAGTTCTTACAACTGGTTGTGCCGATACACCAGCAATACAACGAATCATTTTTTCTCAAAGATGAAAACATCATTAAATTTTGATGACATTGCTTGATAGGCAATGCCATATATCAAGCGAGAATGGGCCTGAACAAAGTACAGCATGCTTCAACTGGTCATGAGTAAGAACACATCTAAGATTATGAGACCCAAAAATTTCACACATGATACCTTGTCGATTTGATGATTGCCAATTTTGATATCTATATTAGCTATTTGTTTTTGTTTATTATGAAACTGTACTTACTGCATGTGTTTTTTCTGCTCTGAGATGAAGAGAATTCCTGCAGAACCACACATAAAAATTCGACAATATATTATTAGATTGTGTTTCTGAAGCTGCATAAAGGTCACCTTTCCCAGTAGTGTCAGTGTTTCCCGAGGTCAGGTGGTGTGCATTGTCGTTACAGCATCCCTGGTATATGGTGGTTCTTTACTATTGAAGGAGAAGTACTCTGTCTGATTGACAATTCCTGTTTCTCTGGTCATCTTTAAATTGACTGCCTTGAAATCCCTGGCACAACAATTGTTCAAAGAAAGTATATATAATACTTTTCGTATAATTTTTCAAGTTCGGTTATAAAGTAACTTCCCACGGATCTCTCCCAATTCCATGATTTTTACTGTAGACCAATGTTCTTGTATGAAACTGATATCAAACTTCTCCATAACCTTCGTAAGGAATACCGTGGTTTCCTTACTGTGTTGTAAGTTGACTTGATATTAAAGGTATATTTTCAATAGTGGGTCGTCAAGTGAAGCTTGAATGAATATATCATTGAATAAAACTATTGATTATCGATTCCAGTTGTGCACACCTGAATAATTCTCGAAAAAACAGTTTTCACATTTATCAGTCTATTCCTTAGAGATTGAAATATGTACTTTTCTCGTCGATTTTTTTGGAGAGACAACCGCTCCGAGAAGAGTGTTGCATTTCTGGTGTGTGGGAGTAGTGTTTGCTTTTGATTAAAAAAAATCTAACTGTTTTACTTTCATTATCGTATATTTATCACATCAATTATATTAACTGTTAAACGTGGAAATTGTCTTCACGTATTGAGATTCATGTGTATTAATAGCAATTACGAATATAATTTATTACTATTTTGAATGTCCCTACCATTATATTTCTTCAGCAGACAAGTTGATGCGAGAAGAAATAACACCTGTTGTGGAATCAATTCTTGAAACAATTTTCGAAATGGCTGTTGCCCTAATAGAGAAGAATCAACTGCAATTTGAAAAAGTAAACAAAAAATCAAGTGTTCAACTGGAATTGGGTCGTCGAGCATCCGAATACAAAAGTCGAATGAGATGTAATACAGGTGATACTCTAACCTCACTTTATATACCTAAAATAATCCAACCATCTATAACGGACAATCTCATTGATGCAAGAAACTTTGTGGAAGAATATGAAGAGTACCACGAATCTTGTTCAGAGATGCATGATTCAGAGATTGCCATTGGTCATGTTATCAATGAATTGGGAGCAAGTGTAGATCGAATAATAGTTGAAAAGCAAAGAAATAAACGGAGGGATAAATCGGTTAAACATGGAGGTGTCACTAGCTTGATACCAATAGAAACTGACTCTAATGCAGAGGATGACTCGGAAGTTGTTCAGAATGACAAAAGACTGTTGGAAGTTGGGGCAATGTATAATATCCCCAAAAATCTGTTCCAAAGTACTGAAATGACTGAGATTACTGAACAGACTATAGATGAACTACACAGGAATGATGAAAATGCAGAAAACAATCCTGATTTGGTTGAACAACCAGTTGTTGTAAATTTGAATTTGACAAAAGAAGGAAAGGTGGAAGACGAGGATGATGTCTATAGGCCAATAGCTGTTAGTCCAGATGGAAGGTTTTTCAAGTATGAAGAAGAGGTATAAACAAATGAATAATTATTTGATGTTTTATCTGTTTCAATGTCTTAACAAATTTTAGATTGGACGAGGTTCATTCAAGACCGTATATAGAGGCCTGGACACTCAAACAGGAGTCGCTGTAGCTTGGTGTGAATTGCAAGAAAAAAAACTCAACAAAGCAGAGCGCCAACGATTTAGGGAGGAAGCTGAAATGTTGAAGAAATTGCAACATCCAAATATCGTAAGATTTTATAATTATTGGGAATCTCCTGGAGTCAAAAAAAAGAATATTGTACTGGTTACAGAATTGATGTTGAGTGGCACTTTGAAAACGTGAGTTGAAGTTCTTAGAATTCATTTTAGGGAAATAACAGTTTATTTTTCATTATTTTCCTTTCAGATATTTGCGACGATTTAAAAAAATAAACCCCAAGGTGTTGAAATCATGGTGTAGACAAATTTTGAAAGGTCTGGCTTTTCTGCATTCTAGATCTCCTTCTATCATACACAGGGACTTGAAGTGTGATAACATTTTCATAACTGGAACTACAGGGTCTGTTAAAATTGGCGATTTGGGATTAGCCACCCTGAAAAACAGAAGTTTTGCTAAGTCGGTATGTTAGAGATATTATTTTAAATAAAGTTATTCCACAACTGTTATTGAAGGTTATTGGTACACCAGAATTTATGGCTCCCGAAATGTACGAAGAACATTATGACGAAAGTGTAGATGTTTATGCCTTTGGTATGTGTATGTTGGAAATGGCAACAAGTGAATATCCTTATTCAGAATGTACAGGTCCTGCTCAAATTTACAAGAAAGTTATATCGGTAAGAATTCCAAAAGTTTCCTTGTAACTATTAAAAATTTTGATCTTTAGGGCGTTAAACCAGCCAGTTATGAGAAAGTGCAGAATCCAGAAGTAAAAGATGTTATCGAAAATTGTATTCGGCCTAGAAAGGAAGACAGACCTAAAGTCAAAGATCTGCTGAGTCATGCTTTCTTTGAAGAAGATGTTGGACTCAAAGTTGAAGTAGTATCGCAGGAAAACAAAAAAATTGTTTTTCGTTTACGTGTTATTGATCCTAAAAAAAGAACACACAAGCATAAGGAGAATGAGGCAATACAGTTTGAATTTGATATGGAAACTGATAGATATAATACAATATCAGAAGAAATGGTAAATGAGAAATACTTTAGACACCTTGTAGAAACGTACTGTCATTATGACATTGTCATAAGTCAAAACTATTCTAAAATATTTCAGATATATTTCAAATGAAAATATTGTTTTTAGATGTTTGTTAAAGAACATCTTTTGAATCTCTTGAATATCTCTTGCATTAACTATCAACCATGTTTTATTTTAATTATGTCAGTAAGTAAATTAAATTCTACATTGTTCTAAAACTCTTTTGAAAAGAATTAATATAGTAAATTGTGTAAATTTTGCAGGCAAAATCTGGTATTATCTTTGAAGATGATGCTAAAACTGTAGCTCAATTATTGAAAACACAGATTACACAGATAAACAAAGAGCGTGAGAAGAAAAATAAAGAGGAAGAAGCTTTGGCTCAGCAGCTGCATTATCAACAGTATTTACAACAGCAGGTTGAACAACAGATGTCCCAACAGCAACAACAGCAAACGCAGACTACAACAATACCTCAGCAACAAAGTCAGCAACAGACACAGCAAAATGTGGCTTCTTACCAACAGACTCAGCAAGTCAGTCAACAGCAACAATATTCCCAGCAGCAGAATTATCAGGGGCAACAAGTTATTCATTCAGAACAGCAAATTCAATTCCAACAATGTGTGGGTCAGGATCAACAATTTCAACAGCAGCACAATCTAGAGCAACAACAAGATCATGTTATGCAAAATCAGTATATTCAACAACAGTCACAAGCTCAGCAGCAGTCACAAACTCAGCAACAACCCCCAGATACTACAGTGTTATATCCACAGCAGCAGTCAATTAATCAACAGGACTTACAGCAGCAACAGCAGCAGCAACCGCAACCAGTTTATCAAACACAGCAGCAGCAACATCAACCACAGTTGAATCAGGAGTCAGCTCCTGTTCTTCAAAGGCAAGCTTCTGTTGAACCTGTTCAACAGCAGACCATTATTCTGAATCAGCCTGCACCCACTCATTTCATTCAGCAGAATTATTTAGGTGATGGCCATCCTCAACAAGCTGAATATTTGCAATTGCAACAACAAGAAAGTCAACATAAAATTTCTAGTATATCTCAACCTGAATTGCTTCATGCTACTCCTCCTGTTCATGAACATAGATTAAGTGTTGATGGTCAGATGGATTCAGGACAGAAAGGCATGGTTCCTGAACAGAAAGGGCTAGGAAACTTTCAACAATCTACTTTTCAGCAACAGCAACCCACCTATGCTCAAGTTGCTCAACATCAACCACAAAACTATCAACACCAAACACAAAGTTATCAGCAACCACATCCACAACATGCAGGATTTCAAGCTTCTCATCAGAATCTTTCAAACTATCAATCTCAACAGAGCTATCAATCCCAGGATAGTCAGACTTATCAGCAACCAAATTACCAACAGCAGCAAAGTTACCAGCCTAGTCAACAGCAAGAACCCATTATTCATATGCTTTCCACAATGTCTCATCAGCCACAAGATATGAATCCACCTTATGGAACTCAGCAACAAAGCTATCCCCAACCAAGTGCCCAACCAGCTCCCCAGTCTTATCAGCAACCATCACAGCAGTCCTTCCAGCAACCTGTTCAACAGCAGCCCTATGTGCAAGCAGCTCAGCCAGCACCATATCAGACCCAGCAGAGTTATCAACAAACTAATCAGCAACAAACTGTTTATTCTCCCCCGCAGAACGCTCAGCAACAGAATTACTCTCAGCAACAAAGTAATCAACCATCTGCTAATTATAACCCCCCACAACAAAGTCAAGTGGCATATGCACCTCAACCTGGACAACAACAAATGAACTACCAACAACAAATTAGTAGCCAACTTCAATCCAATTTACTTCCCCAGCAGCAACACAATTATCAAGGACAGCAGCAATATCAACAAAGTGATCAAGGACAGATATTTCAACCACAATACATTCAACCTTCCAAAATTGATCCATCTCAGCAGTACATTCAACAAAGTAATGATCCTGCTAGTCAGTTTGTGCAGGCAAATGTTGACCTTAACCAGCAGTATATACAGAAATCAAATATAGATCCTAATCACCAATATTCTCAGTCAAATGTTGATTGCAGTCAGCAGTATGTTCAGCAAAGTGTTGATCCTCCTCAACAATACATTCAGCCACAACCTATAGACCAATCTCAAAACTATATACATCCACAGCTGGTAGAACCAGTTCAACAAATATATCAACAGATAACTCCTCATCAAACACAGACTATTCAAGCAACAGGATATACAGAACAAGTTTTACAGCAATCTCAGCAGCAAGTTAATCAACCTGAAACAGACATTGAACCAGTGGGTAATCGATTGTCTAATATCGAAATACCACCAATGAATTTAGCCGAGTTACAGCAGAAACTTGCTCAACAGCATTTACAACCAGCAAAAGACCAACACAGAGCTTCAACTACTTCATTACCCCCAGCAACGAATTTCGATGTCCAACAGATTGATCATAGGAGATTGTCAACTGTATCCCAACCAGCTTCGTCCCATGATTATATACAGTGCACTATTCAGCAAATTGCTGAGCAGCAAAATCAAGAGTATCAGGCTCAGAAACACGTTGGTCAGGTAGGATATGTGTGATAAGTATTTGATTAATAATTTATAATGTTTTTTTTTAGGTAACAATGCCACAACATGAATCTCTTCCTCTAACTGCCGAAAATCTTGATTTAATTCCATCTCAAGTACCTTTGGAGTCTATTTTATCTTCCCAATGTGTGACCTCTAATGTAGGTCAGGAAGCTGTACCTCTAGATGACATTTCAACATCAGAACAAGTAAGTTTGGAAATATCATCATCCTCGTCGACCGACGAGAAACCGAGAAGAAAAAGAGGTTCTCTCAAGTATCAATTAATAGTAGATAAAGTTCATCCCGATGGTATAGTAGAGTGCCAACTACTTTGCAAACAGAAACAGATTAGTTTTAAGTTTAACAGGTCAGGCACAAAGCCATCGGATATTATAGATGGAATGATCAAGCAAGAGTGTCTAGATGAACCTCATAAGCAATTGAGAGATCATCTACAAGAAGTGATAGATAAATTGAATGTAAATCCTGATAGGATTCCGGAAAGTGCAAGAGCTAAGCCTTGGGCTTATGTTCAAAAGGTATGTTTCTTTAGTCTTGGCTTCGTAGAATAACATATAGAACTGGGTTATATAGAACAGTAGAGGGTAAATAACATAAAAGAGGTGATAGCAATGCAGTAAGGTAAAAATATACTAGAGCAAAATGAAGACTTTGACTTTTCAGAAAGGTATTAATGATTTTTTTTATTGGTATTATTATCTTGCATAATGCTCTAAGATATTTTTCATATCTGATAACAATAATACCATAGTTGTGATAATTTTTTGTGAAAAAGTCAAATTTATATCCCAAATTTTTTATTTTGGCCCAAAATGATTTTTGTATCTTCATTTTTTCTGAGAAATAAACATACAAGTTGTCTCTGCTTTGTGTACCACAATTGTACATTTTCAACTTGATTCTCTTGATGTGATTTTAAGTACTGCAAATTGAGTTTTCACACAGCATAACATCTGAATAAATAATTCTTTTGCACGCTGCAAAATAAAGGTTAGGCATGCTTCACTTACAAGGCACCCTCACAAAAAAACACATCGAAGGCACAGATCTGTAAGTATAAATCCTTTTAAAGTCACTGTTTAAGTTGGTTTCTCTACTTTATTTTTGTGTGTTTTAGAGTGCTTTTCGTATTTGTCTTCTCTTCATTTTCTGTTTGCAGAGTAGCTGTTAGATAGATTTTTGTATCACTTCAAGCAGATTCTACAGAGCAGTAGATCTCAAATATTTGTCAAAGAGTGGGAATAACTTTAAATATTAATTCTGTTCTATGTACCATGAGAGAAATACCTGTGTAATCAGGTGGTTCTTTTAAATTCATAACTTAACAAAACTATCTCGAACCTTAAAAAAAGACCTCACACAGCAAATAGAAAAAGTGCTTATTTGAATGAATTTCGATATAAAGTTAAATTAAAAAAACTCGTAATTGAACAATTAGGTTAGGGAAAAAGAAATGTTTATCATTATTGATTCTAATTGGACTATGACATCAAAAAACAATAACTTTGAAACATTTGTTCAATCTTTCATAATCATTGTTGACATTATATGATTAATCATATTTCAAACCCGTAGCAAATCCTAATATATAATTTTTGATGAATGGAATTCTTATTTTTGTTATTGCTGATATTAACTTATATATTTAGTATAATATGATTCATTTACAAGAGTTAGTGGTCAATAAATGAATAACATACCCTTAGCACTTATTAGTCATTTACTGAAAAGTAAATCTAACTTGTAATGAATAAAAAAATTACTATTCAACATGCGTAACAAACAATATTGTTTATTGGCCTGTAACTTTATTTTCCAGTATGAATCCTCTTTGATATAAAAGTTTAATTAATTTTTCATCAATTAGATCAATTCATTTATCATTTCTTCAATAGTTACTTGTGCCCCTCAAAACTAATTTGTGTTTTTCATCATTTGCACAGAGAGATGACTCTAGTGGCCAAACATTCATCAAATCCAACTACATAGACCCATCTCCAATTCAAGATGAATTTCAAGGAATCAAAACAACACTTGCAGAAAACATTTACCAGAATTTACATCGCCGAGAAAGTCTGAATTCTAGCGGTACTGTTTCACGCAAAACAAGCACCGCCTCAGAATACACCCCTGAACATACACTTATAGTGAATAGATCTGCTGGCCATTCTGAGCACACGATTGTCAGTTACGCAACTGAAAGTTCTATATCATCACCAGGAGATCCTCAACCTGTTCCCGAGAACTCTGTAGAGGTTCCAGAAAGTCCTCAAAAAAAATCACTTCAGGATAATTCTGATTGCATAGATGCAATGAAAACTGAGTTTAATTATAGTTTATTGCAGAAAGATGTAGGTAAACTATTTCCTGGTCAGAAAGTTAACTTGAAGGTTTTTGTAATGTCTGTTGATCAGAAAGATGAAGTTATTGATAATGAACCTGCTTCAAAAACTGAAGAGCCTAATGAGACAGTAATAAAAGTAAAACTTGAAGATGGAGTCAATAATGACAGTATTAAGACCAATAATAGTGAACCTTTGACCGACAAATCATCAGAAACTGCTTTGAAAGTTCCACAAAGGAAAATATCAAGGTTTTTAGTGAGTCCAGTATTGTCAGGGCAATTGGACATGCCTAAAGACAAAGATTTCAATGTTGAAGGTTATCAACAGCAACTGTCGTCATTAGAGAATCTGACTGATTCAGGTCCTACTGAAAATTCTGTTGAAAATAAAACAGTGCTATCCACTATTATTAATGATGCAGTTTCGTCAGAGCTTCCAAGAAAGATATCAGCCCCTCTTGAAGCCACGAGACATACTTTAGAATTAGAAAATAGAACTGTAGAGCAAAAAGTTAGTGTGTCTTCGATGAAAGAGGAGAGTACTAAAGAAGAACCTGCTCAAGTTTGCGGACCTGAACTCATCAACACATTAGAACAGCTTAAAATCAGTTTGGATAATTTGAAACACAGCAGTCATCCTAAGAAAGATTCTGGTGAAATGGATTCAAAAAAAGTAACATCCACAAGCGATTTGACAACAGCAAAGGGAGCATCTACAGTGCCACCTCAACAGCCAGTAGCCCAGCAGCCAGGATCTCAATTCATAGCTCCATCAACAATTTCAAGTGTTACTCAGCAGGCGACCTCAGTTCAGCAGATTATTCAACCTACTCAGCAGACAGTACCCCAGCAAACAGTACCCCAGCAAACTGTATCTCAGTCTCACTCGACTTTACCACAGTCTCAACCTGTTTTACCACAATCCCAGTCTTCTATACCTCAACCAAAATTATTACCACAATCTATGCCTCAGACTCAGAATACTTTTCCGCAATCTCAGCCTGTTTTATCTCAAATACAACCTTCTTTACTTCAGCAACAACCTATTATGCCTCAGTCCCAACCTGTCATTCCCCAGTCCCAGCCTGTTATGCCTCAGTCACAGCCTGTTATGCCTCAGTCTCAACCAGTTATGCCTCAGTCGCAGCCTGTTATGAATCAGTCGCAGCCTGTTATGAATCAGTCGCAGCCTGTTATGAATCAGTCGCAGCCTGTTATGAATCAGTCGCAGCCTGTTATGAATCAGTCGCAGCCTGTCAGTCGCAGCCTGTTATGAATCAGTCGCAGCCTGTTATGAATCAGTCGCAGCCTGTTATGAATCAGTCACAGCCTGTTATGAATCAGTCTCAGTCTGTTATACCTCAGTCTCAGCCTGTTCTGGCTCACTCACAGCCTGTAATACCCCAGTCTCAACCTGTTTTAACCCAGTCACAGCCTGTTATGCCTCAGTCTCAGTCTCAACCTGTTTTGCCTCAGTCACATTTACCCCAGACTGTTGTACCTCAGTCTCACGTGTTGCCACAGATTCAGCCTACTTTATCACAGTCTCATAATATTTTACCGCAAATCCAATCAGTTATGCCTCAGCCTCAGCAAATTTTGACTTCTATTTCAACTATGTCTCAGCCTACCCATTCCCAACAAATTCCACAAAGTTCTACAATAACCCAACCTGCAGTTGCTACTAGTGTTTCCTCTATGTCCCAACAAAGTTATGTGTCTATATCTCAAGCATATGGGACGCCATGTCCCTCGCAACAGATAAATATTCCTAATATTAGTGCATCCATACAGCAAGTTGGAGTTACAAATCAGACGATGATGAGTTCATCACTACCAAGTCAACCTGCTCCTGCATCATTACCTCATACATTACCCAGCAGCTTACCGAAGCAGCCTGATACTTCGTCTGCAGTAAGTTATTAAACTTTGATAAAGCAAATTCTCTCATTTGTAATTAATTAATAGAAAAGAAGTTGAAAGTTTAAAGTTGTCTCCACTCTGCCAGTACCACCCAAGGCAGATCGAATCAGGGGTATCTGGTAAAAGTAACACTTTTGTATCTAGTAGTGTTAATTCTCAAATTCACCAAGAATTTTTTTAAGAACTATCAACTTTTTTTCATCAATTAATTGTTTTTTGGTTAGGAAAATGTATTTCAAAATTATTTTACTGAGAAGGCTTCTTGAGAATTCAGAATAATCTGTTCACAGGCTTCTAGTTATATCCTGCAAAATACAGTAACGTCGCCTCCGCAGGCTATTAGTCAGTCAGCCTTGCATCAGCATTCAATATCTCAAACACCATCTAGTGTTCAGTCATCATATACACCGCCAATCGCTACCCAGATTTCTCAGCAAATTGTTGGACAACCGGCAACTAATCAAAACGATATGCAGACTCTCTACCAACAGCAGTCCTTTACTGGTCGCCAACCAATGTCCAGTTCCGTATCTGTGCAGAATTTATCATCCTCTATGAGTCAGAGTATGCCAAGTTTTCAGCATTCTATGTCTATGGATGAGACACTGCAGAATTATGCTGTAAAAAAGATGCCTGAAAATCTCAAGCAAATATTAGAAAGGTAGGATGACATATTGGGATATTTGATTTCTGAAATCATTCAGGCACTAATTAAGGATTGATTTCAGCAATTCTGGTAAAGTAAGTCAAATTTCTACCCCACAGAGTGATATTAAATATGATGCGCATCTTCAAACTTTACAACACAAACTCGCAGCTATCCCAACGGCAAGAACACCACAAATGAATACTGTAAGTGATTGTGTGTTATTCATGTTCTAAGCATGATTTTTGTGTAATGACTACATGCTTCATTTGAAGTTGTTTCTCTCCCACCTTCATTCAACCAACTTTAATAGGAAGTTTTTGCATATAATTGATTGATACTTGATCAAAGTCCATCACAATGGAATTATATATTTTTTTTGAGAAATTTGCAAAAAACTGAAAATGACAGATTTGATTTTTTGCTCTACCACCTCCATTTTCAGTAATATCAAAAAACGACGGAAATTTTTGTTTCATTTCATCTTTTTCATAATCTGGTTCAACAATCAATTTTCCAATGCGACTAGAAAGGTTAATGCAGTCAAGCTGCTGGAAAATAATTCCATGAAAATCATAAAATAAATAGATAAGTACTCTTTGATCATTCCCATATTGATTTCAATTTAAGAGCCACCGGTATATAGCTGTTTCAGCCTATTGGGCATCGTCAGTACCGGGCAGGCGGTCCTCGATTGAAGACAAAAATAATGAAGATAGTGTATAAAAAATATGATACGCAATAATTTCTTTTTTTGAAGTAAGCCATGATATACATGTATGTGAATGTCAAGTTAATTGTCGAACACAAAATAAAACAGTTATTCAATTTGGTAAGCAATTTTAAGGGAAAACCATGAAATTTTCCAGTGTCGTAAAAGTGGGTTTGCTTTTTGTTTATTGGAATTGTTTGAGAAATGCTACCAAATCTCTGGCAATGTATCAGGAATTGTATCCTGAATAGTTTACGAAATAATGAATCCTTTGAAAAAGCCTCCAAAAGAAAATGTACAGTTACTGAATGGGGTGGGGATAATAAAATCGGCGTTTTAGGTGGGTTCAATAATGATAAAGTGACATTCATTTGATTTAGGATTTGTGGAAAATAAAAATAATTGAGAACAAAAAAGTATCCCTGAGGGAGACTGCTCATAATTCGGTCATATCCACTACGTTTGTATGGAAAATTAAAAAAAAAATAAGTTCAAACCTTATTGAGTCAAAAAGTCCATCATTTGCCTGACTTCAACAGGAACCAGTCTTTTGTAGATGGCTCAATAAAAAAATTTGCCAAAAATAATGAAATTTGACAAAAAAAATGTGGTGTGACAGTAGATTTACCAATAATGGATGTTTCAACAGGTATATACATTATCGCTAGCTTTTAAGCATATCTGGAAAATTCCCGAAAAAATTGCATGGCATGAGCTATCCTCAGCAACTCCTCCAATGATTCGACGATTCTCCATAGCAAATTTCTTCACGTTCTCAACATTTTCAACGGTTTTTGATGTGCTGGGGCGTCCAAGGCGAGCGTCGTCATTTACATCTTCTCGACGTTCTGTGAAAAGTCTGTGCCACTTGTAAATATTTTTCTGACTCGGAGTACACCACTGTCAACATTTCAAGTGTTTTTGAGCACCTAATTCCATTTTTTACACAAATTTTGATGCAAATCCTTTGATCCATTTTTTTCTATAGCAGAAAACCGCCGAGCTTACAAAATACTTCTTACATTTATGCCTCTCACCATCAAACTAAACATGCTAAACAGCTGGAGCTGTGAACATATGTTCGAGACGAGTGTACCAATATAAAAAAATTACAAAGAATCGTTAATCGAATGTACGGAGCTCGGAGCATTCACCGTATTTTTTGATCAGTCTTTGTATATAGTTTATTTGTTGGCACTAAAAAGGGTAATTCATAAATAAATTTTATGGTTGTAATTTGTAATGATTTCAATGGTTCCAACACAGATTTTGCATGGGTTATAATTTCTATTTGATGAAGTTTCCTCAACATGTACTCGCCAGTTCAAATGGCACGTGTTTTTTTTCAGGCTCCATCAAGTCCACAACTGATATTTGCACCATTAGAGTTTCCCCAAGAGAGTGTGCCTACTAACGCATCCGTTATTTTGAATAAAGTAACTAACTTTACCCTAGTATGATTTACTACCTGCATGTCATCTGTTTGAAATCGAAGGTGGATTCAAGCATCAGTCTTAAGCCATGCATCATACATTGTAATAAGTTTGTTACCATTTTTTTAATGAGAACATTTATGTACAGGTAAGTTTTAAGTAATAAAAAAGGTTATATTTCCATTACTCTACTTCATTTCTTGAAGACGCCAACTTGGTTGGTGAAACGCGCATTCAGAATAGTGTTGCAGTGGGAACATTGATTGTTTTGGATTTTTTCTACGCCAGAGGTTCCAGTTCTATTTTTCAAAGCTCATATTGATAACATATACAGCCAAAAGGCTCTGACCATTTTCTGTAATGTTGAATTGGTTGGAGAACTTTGTTGCCAGTTTCATACAGATCAATCGATATCAATATCCAGTCCAGCGTGCACTCTAATTTCAGTCTAGAGTTCTGTGTATTTCTCAACTATGTAAGCCAATATGAATACTTATTACCTAAAATCAGACACTTCCAACTTGAGTCTGATGCATGAATCTACCTTGATATTTCAAAAATGTTATACAAAGGAACAGAGTTCCTTTTGAAACAACAGTGATACTGGGTTTCATGTTATTTAATATTCTGTTTTGTCACAAACCAGTAATGAAATATTTTTTCAAATTAGTTAAATTTGACTACAGTGTTTTCAGCATCAAACAGATAATGTAAATAAGTGTGAAATTAACGTGTTTTGGTGATAATTGATTTTTTTCTAAATATTTTCTTAGTTACCCTAAATATTGTTTTAGCTTCAAATAGAATCGAGTAGTGGCCCAAGTAGTGGGACAACCACTTCGGATATCTTATCTCCGGTAGTAGAAGCAGATTCAGCAACGATTAACATTGGTGGAGACAACACTCTGGTAGAGCTCAATAATAAGCTGAAGCAGATTAACTCTAGGTCTGACTCAGTAGAGAGAAAAGATACTCCTACTGTCTCAGAAACTTCCTTGGAAATAGTGGTGGAAAATAATGCTTTGAAATCAAAAACTGATAATGTTTTGCAAGAGGTAGCGGTTTCAACAAGTGGCACTAGTGAATCTAACGCTAATGCAAGTAGTCAGGTTAGGCTTCTACTAACTTACTGAATACACATTTATTTGAGGACTTGGGTTCTTGAATGTCCCACAAAGTATTTTCAAAAGTAAAATTTTTTCTGCTGAATGAATGTTTCAAATGATATTTGTGAACCCAATCTGAAATTTTAACAAAATAATAACTCGCCAAATAAGTGAATATGTTCATTATACAATGTATATCACATGGAGCTTCCATTATAGTTTTGAGAACTTTTCACCCATATACAGAGTGCCAAATGACAATGTGGTGTATCAAAATAGTTTTTTCAGATAATATGTCATAAATATATTTTTTTATTTATTTTGATATTAGCATATGTTTACAAAAAAGATTCAAAGCTTTAATAACTTCTACTTATTACATGCGAGCGCTTTCGATAGCAGGCTTGTGGTATCATCGTGATGGCTCTACTCAAACTGAACGTTTTACCTTGTTTGTTTTTTATTAAAGCTTCAAATCCTTTTTGCAAACATATAATATTAAAATACTGAAAATGAAGGAAAATTAGTTTCATGAAACGTTTTGTGAAAACTTCACAGCCTCACTGGGAGTTTTAATGGAAGCTATATATGATATGTATTGCGTGTGAAATTTTTTGAATAATATTAGAAATGAAACCAAACTAACAAAATATGAAACAATATAATTGGAAATGTTTTTGAGAATATTGTTTTTCAAAACTGAATAGAACATATTCATTTATAATCTGCACTATGTATTTTTGCTACACCTGAAAAAAAAAAGTACTACTTGAAGTTTTTCTAGGCTCAAACGACCGAGAGTACTGTAGTGAGAGAACGTAAAGTTTCCCGATTCAAAGTGAGTTTGGTAACAGAGCCGGATAGGAGCAAATTAGTGATACCGGAAAATAAGGAGCAAGATAGAAGGAATAGTAATGTACCGATAACTGATTCCGAAACGAAAAAGGTTGCCGATTTTGCTACTGTAATTAACACGACATTTGATTCACTGAAAACTACTTTAGTTAAATCGTTACCCACTGGTGGAGGTGAGTAGTAATTTTTACTTCATCAATTTTTTTTTAAATCAATTTTGTGTTGTTAATTTTCCTACAAGTTGATATTAGATCATAAGAGATACAGCGAGATTGGTAGATACCATTAAAAGGACCTGATCCAACAAAATAGGCAGAGAAAGAAATTATGATGTAGAAGTTTGAAGTTGAGGAGAACATGAATAAAGCAATGGCTTCATGTGTAAAAATATCGTTCTTTGTACAAAAATTAAGTTCAGTAATCAAATGATTATATTGTTATGAACTAGATTATTTTGATTTTAACAAGGGCTGCCGACATCCATGTTTTAATCTAAGCAAATGGAAGAGTGTGCTGGACTGTATTGATTAGTAGAGGAAGTCAGTTACATAATCATGATAACTCGTGAACTATGATTTTTTAAATTTGTTTATTCCTCACATGAAGCTTAGTTCTCAGCCTTGCAATATATGTATAGGTTAGACAGTACCCGTTAGCGTGAGTAGTTAGTTCTACTCATTGGATCGCCTCTCTCACGAACGGTGGATGGAACCCTATTCTGGGACAATGGGTGTTCACTGCCTATCATCTGATCTTGCAGAAAGTACATGTTAAAAGCTCACATATGGTTTGGTCTATTAAGTGATGTCCTGGGACTAGGAACAACAATTGATCAATGGAAAAACTCTTTTTAATCCATTTTTATATATTTTGTGTTTATGATTTCGAGAGATTGTTGATGTGTGCATATATATTGTTAGTGTGAATTATTAATAGACACATTTTATTTACTTTTGAAGCAGAAGAAGTTCCTTTACCAGAAGAGGAAGAAGAAGAAGAGGTAGAAATTTCCAAAGTCAAAGTAAGTTTGAAAATTCAATTTCATTGTATTTTTCCAACTAATTTCGCGTTTTTCATGTTATTAATAGTAATATGTGACTTACACTTGAATCATTTCATTTATGTATTTTAATAGTACTTTGTTGAAGTAGCTCTTATATCCTTTTTGGGTTGACGTCCAGTAAGAAATAATAAAACAAGGAAGGCGAAATTTTTTATTAGTTTTTGTTGGAAAATACTTTTAATTTGATTAATTTAAAGCATTGCATTATCTATTGCAAAATATACCAAATTCATTCATTTTACGAAGTATAAATAATTCGGCAACAATTAGATCACAAATGTGCCTTCAGTAGGTGTTTATCACTTCTTTCTTGGACCCTACATGCTTTACTTTCATAGTAAACTGATATTAAAGATGACCTTTTGTCTTCTTGCGAGTGACTTAACATAGTTTGGGTGTTTTTATATCAATATTTTGAGAGTAGTAATTTTGTTTTTTTTTTAGTTTTTTTATTTTTGTATTTGTAGCCGCATGAAGTTGGTAACAGCATTAAGCACGGCCGTTACATTGGCACCACTCATCACAGTTACTCCAAGAATAACTACAAAGACAGTACACACTCACTTGATATACACTCTAAACAATCATTGCATGGTAGTAGAATACTGAAGAAATCATTGTCATATGTCGATTTAAAAAAAGAAATCGAGAATTTGTTGCCTATCAACAAAGAAAGATTGGAATCAGTGAATAATCCAAGGCGAATTAATAATAGCCGTAGACATTCGAAAACTTTCAGACACTTTCCAAAAATTATTGTTCATCCTCCAGAAGAAACAAACTTGACCGCCAGCATGCCAGATATTTATGAGATATTACTGAGAGAATTTCAAACTGAATTAGCTTTCAATAATGTATTTGATCAAAACGCCTCATGTCCTGATCTTAGTGATGAATATTATTTCAACAGTAATTATGAGACTAGTAGCATAGAAACTGGAGACACTTTTGAGGAATATGATGACTATACAGAATCCTTATCAGTTTGTAGCGATAACTTGGTTTCAGACGTAAAATATCAAGAAGCTAGCTCTACAAATTCACATGTTAGGAAAAGTAATTCATTTTCAATAGGTGAGAACCGAAATTTTTGTCTTAGAGATACTATCTCATCAAAAGACACTATCTCATCAAAAGATACTATCTCATCAAAACAAAAATTTGGTGTTTATATACCGCGACGTAAAAAAATAGATGATATGCCTGTTGAAGTTTTGAGACGCAACTGGAGAGTAAAACATTCCTCTTCACTGCATAACTTGACTAGAAGATTTCAAAATTCCGATTCAAGTTTTGACACCTATCATACAGTACATGGAGAAACAAATTTTTCTCATAACAATTCATGTAGTTGTAATTCTCATTATTCCTACCAAGATTATACTGGCTGCCAGCCACCAGTTCACAATTGTTTCAACAGATACAATTCAGATTATTTTTATACTGATTGTCCACATCATGCTCGAAGTTATAATTCTCTACCATGTGGTAATTCGAATACATGTTTAACACATCACCAGACTGAGATTATATACAAATGTTGTTGTGGAGGTGTGAACTGTAAGACAGTGGTGCCAATACATGAGTATTTGGAAACGTATTTCCCAAAGACGGTAAGATATTTTTGCAGCCAATCGGGTAAAATATTAAGTAGTGGTTATCAATTTTTTATCAAAATGTTGTTCATTTGAATTACTCAATTTCCTAATAAAATAATTTCAATATGAATTCTCCACTGAGTCATGAACTTATGCTGCTTCAGAGCTTTCTTATGAACCAGAGTTCTTAATTACCAGAAAGACAATACCTTACAGTAGAATTTTTGTACGTTTCAAGTAATTGTTCTTTTGATAAACTTCTTTAATTTCATTAATGAAGTGCGCGTGCGTGCGTGTGTGTACACTATGTGATTCAATATTTGGCGATATTAACTGGCAGTATCTTTATTCATTAAGAAGTCGTTCAAAAGGTATTTCGTTATGACGTGAATATGATCATTTTTAGGAAGTTTTTTCTCAATACCCCTCTTTACCTCTCTTCCTTTCCCCACGTTTCTCACTTTCTCTTCCCTCTCACTCTTATGGGCCTTTTTCTTCTGCTCCATCTAGAGTTATTCTCACGAGTTTGCAATTCAATTCAAAGGCGGACCGAACGGGAGGGAATTTTAAACATAGTTATTTGAGTTACAATAAAAATTTGGTTTTCATATCTTCATTTTCTGATTTTTTTTTATCTCTATGACCTATTTCTGTTAAATCTTCGTTAATTCCCCCTTCCCCAAAACTAAATGCAGGGTGTACCAGTGGTTCTTTCAGCATACTTTTAGCGGTATCGATACTTGATACGAAATTTTTGGATCTCCATGAAAGGTTAAAAGTGCTATTTAAAGAAAAATTGATACAAGGAGAACCATAAATATATTATGAAATTGAAAAGTGTTCGAAGGATAAATGCTTATTTTTTAAAGATTAATGTAGTTTACCCTAATATTTACTTGATATTTAGGCTACAATAATTTTAATGAAATTGATATTAGGGACTTTCTACCTTAGCTTCAAACTTCACTATTTCTTTGAAATTCTTTATTTCTACCAGTTGAAAATCAGAAATATTTCGTTATTGTAATTGGTGTAAAATATAAAAAGCTGTAAAGTTTTTACTATTTTCTATAATTTTTATACATTTTTATTTTTTTAGCTAAGAAATGTGAAAACTATTTAATTTTTATTGACCGTTTTGGGACTATTTTCACAATCTGTCAATATATTTTTGTGATCTCAATTGTAGAAAAATGTTGGAAAGCGCCCGACCTAGAAATTGTATCCCTATTTTGGTGAATATTTCAGGTTTTTTGAATGGAATGTTTTTACGATCTCATTTTCAAGATCAAACTATTGTCACGGTGTAGTTCTATTGCGTAAGCCACTGGCAAAAAAAGAGAAAGAATCATGATATCACAATAATTAAAAGTCAAAGAACTGGAATCCTTTTGCAAAGTACCGATGGGAATATATTTAAACGAGACAGCGTCGAGTTGCAAGACAGTTTAAATTAAAACTTGGATTAATAGAAAAGTGAACAAGCGACAGTGCAATAAGTGCGATAATTACAAATTTTGATTAAAGTATAGTGTTCAGTTGTAGTTTGTGTTATTAAATAAAGTTAATAAATTTGATTACGCTTAGGTACAATCAATTTATTTTCTATAACACAAGTATAGACATAACATCGGAGACACCGCCAATCGAAACATTATTTTTTTACCTGAGAAAAAATCTGAATTGAAATTCAGAGTATGTTTGTGGGAGAACTATGAAATATCAAGGCGAAAGACAAAGGATAATTTTAGAGCCTCTGAGAATGTTCGTATAATGTTTTATTTTGTGTTGGTATAAGTAGTTATTCTCGGAACACTTATCAATTACATAGTCGATTGCTATTTATTTTATCAATTTTTTTTTCTTTTTGTAATTCTCAAAAACTATGATATAGCACCATCGCTAATCCACTTTTTTTGTAGTTTATTATAAGTAAACCACATGAATACTGAAGGTATTACTTATGAAGGGGAGAGGGCGATGAATACATTTTAGTTCAGGACAATAATTACAATACTGTATAATTTACACTTTTTTTATCAGGAAAGTGGCATTACCTGTTCCACTATCTCACCTGTGGAAATATCTCAATGTATTTATCCTAAAAGAGTTTGTCCATATTTTCATTCTGTTAAAGTATAGTTTTTGTGACTCATAATCAGTATAATCCGTTGATGATTGAGCTAGTTTAGAACAACATTTTGGTTTTTGAGTAATGCAAAATGATTATGAGGAAGTGTTCTTCAAAGTATGCACGAGAAGACTTTTTAATTATTGTTTGAGAAACATTACACCAGGCTGGACTGAGCCTACTAATTTGTTAGTTGACATGAAATTGTTTGCTAATTTCGAGGTACTGCTTTTGTTATGACTCGCCTACTTTTATTAATCTATTCTAACTAACAGTCCAATAACATAACCTGTACTGTGTAGCTTTCACTTGCATTTTGTAAGTATACATCTTGGCATATGTCGAAATGGTCTTTCTCTCTATTATTTGTTTCAGTGATAATTTGTTTGCTTGCTGATTTGTAGAATACCCGCTTATCGATTAACTTCCTTATTAATTGAATTATCAATCATTTTTGAAGATCCATATAACACCACTCAATTTCTTATGATTGAGAAACGTAGATGGGACCCTTATATCTCGAAATATTCAATACGGTCAACTATTACACCATTAACTAGAAAAATGAATCGATGACCTTTCAAATGAGGTATTATTCGATTCCTGATCTCATTTGGGGTTCAAGGGGTAGATCGCACCCTATCAATGAAGTGGAAGAGACAAAGTTGACATTAATTATGTTTTTTTACAAGGTAGTTATAGACTACTTTTGAATATGAGTTTCCATACCTATACAAGAAATATTGAGTCAATCAAGTATCGTGAAATGATAAACAGAAAAAAGGTGATGAGTAGAACTTTCAACCCCTGGCGTTAAATGAATCTTATTGAAAACACTTCTGTTTTTAAACATTTAGCCAAACGCGTATCGAGACAATATGTTTCATCTGGTATGAGAAAAGTGTTTTCAAAAGAATAAGAAAGTGAACAAAATTTGTAAATGATGAACGTGAGTAAAAAAAGATTCAATTTTTGAAAGGTAACTTAAAATGTGTACTTGCCTATATAACGTGTGATAAACTAAAAAACTAAAAAATAATGGTGACTATCAGTCAACTGTAACATTGAAATTCGTAAACTTATTCGTTTTTATCAATCTCATCAATGAGAATTTGAGCTGTTTGCTAGGTTAATCTATAAGTTTTTTAATTGATATTCACTCTTATAAATTCGGCGAAACTATAAATGTTTTGTATTTGTTGATTAGGCTTTAAAAGGCACTTACCCTACTTATTTTCAAAAAGAAACCAAACCCGTGATAAAAACATTGGAAAGTTTGTGGTATCATGATATCCTCAGGCACTTCCACATAGGTTTTCTGAATTTATCCATTTTTTTCAACTTTAGGTTTTTTCCATAATTTCCATTGATTTTTTTCAAAGATGCAATGTCTCATATAAAATTTCGGTAGGTACCTAATGGCTCTAACGACTTCTTATAAAAAATAATTTGAACCTTTGTAGAACAAGTTATGCACTTTTATCAGGGAGACCCTTTGCCATAGTTGTGATAATTTATAATGATCTTCCAGCCGTCAAAGCATTTATATATTTTGAAGTTCTTATTTATCTATCTAATTATCAATAACTCTTTTTTATCAATCCATAGAAGCTATTCAAGCTTTCTTTGGGAATAGACCAATGAAAATGTTCGCTTGTGTTTGTCCTTGCACTTCATTCTTGAGATGTATCAGCTGATCAGGTCCCCATTATCGAAATTCTTAATGTGGTTCTTCAAGAGACAACAGCAAAGGTTTCTGTGCAAAAGTAGTGAATACCACAAATTTAATCAGCACAAGAAATCTTTGTGAACCCGTACTGAAATGAATAGTGTTTTTGAGAAAAAACTTTTTGTTTGCTTTTTCCATTGAAAACCTTCCAAAGAAAGGAAGAAAGCAATTAAGTTTAAAATAACCTTTCCACAAAGATGAGTAGATCATGTATAGAAGTTTATTTCGGACACAAACTGACATTGAAACAAGTTCTTTCAATTTAATATTGAATTGCACGAAATAAAAAGTACTTTCAAAACAACTACTTTCGCGTGAACATTAAATTATAGGTAAATCACCTTTTCGTATTCATTTTCTACTCTAGACTCTAGACATTCGTTATGGAATTGAATTGAATATCATTCTAAGAAACACCACACAATATAATACATGAAAGATATAAAATTTCACTTAGAAGGAACACTATCATTTTCAAAGGCGGACTTCACAATTTTTTGTATAAAGATGGAGAAGTGAAAATACATCATTCTCAATTTAGAAAAGTGTTTATTTTGAAATTTCAACATGTATATATTTCTTCTGAATTAACATTAACTTTTGTTTGAATTTGTTTGGCGATGTTTTCCTCAATTGGTAGAGGTTCAGATTTGACTTCCACTGTTAAAAAATATTAACACATTTGAAGTTCAAAAGGTAAAGGGAAAATAATCATAAAAATTACTTTATATAACAATTCAGTTCCTTAGTCATATGCAATGTTCATACTAGGGACAAGAATAATAACTTAAAAGAAAATTGCAAAGTTTTAAGAATTCACTTGAAGATAAATATAATTGTATGCATGTTATATTAGAAAATGCATATATTGTTGATAATGGAAAACTTTATACTAAGAAATGTTGAGATTTTTCAATTTTGGGTTCCAATATTTGATTTGTTATTGATTATTGGTGACCATTAGAATGGTTATGTTAATCTCAACTTTGAATATTGAATTTGCAATTTTCAGATCATTTTTGGGGGAGAGGGGATTTATGAAGGCACAAAGTTGTATTTGTACAACATTACCATATCTGAAAGATATTTTGCTTTTATATAACAATTACTTCCCTTATAAAGTTAAATATATTTCATACTTACGTGATATTGTGCATTTATACATTCTTAATGAACCAAAAAGAAAAATATGTTTTTAATATTTTTTTAACATTTCGATTGTGGGATATATTTGTTTCCAAAAAAATTTCACACTAAAATGAATGTTCGTTTTGGTAGAGCCCTGAATATTTTGAACTACTTAATTATTATTTGAAACTATTTTAAATCAATAGTCGATGATTTTTTGTAATAAAACATGAATGATGATTTTTCATAATCAACAAAGAATCTGTAAAGAAACAACATAGTAATTGTTGTCCAAATTGTCCACATCATTACAAAATGTTAACTTTAGTCTAGAATTCGATTATTGGTTCAAGTCTCTCAAGGATAATTTCAAATTAATGTTGTTTTCGTAAAAAAAAATATATTTCAATGGTAGTGTTATATTATTGAATGTAAATGATTGTGGAAAACATGTAGCGTTTTAGTTGGAAGTTCAAGAACAATATTTGGTTTGATTTGATTTGTGAGGTATCCATTCATACTTGCACTAAGTGTTTTTTTTTTTCGTTCTTCATTTTTCCACTCTCTTCAATTAGGTTTTGAATGTTAATATTTTTAGACAATGGAACTATTGATGTATTTTTGCAATTTTGATGTGGTGTCATCTAAAATGCAGAAATCTTGAGGATATCTGAGAAACGTTGATGCTTTGAATTACTTAGACATATTCCTAATTTTTTTGGTAATGATTATTTTTCATTAGGAGGAAACATTTGAAGAAATGCTGAACAGGCAAAAGGCTGAACTAAATGCTTTAATGGAAGCCCATAGAAAGCAACAGTTAGAATATATGGGTAAATATAAAAGGCAAAAATATGAGGAAAATAGATGAGCTTTATTTTCTCTTATTTTTGTTACAGAGTTTCATCGAAAACAAACTGAAGGTAAATGCATTTTATTAAAAAGTAGTGATAACTTGCAACAAATTTCAACAATGTATGGAATTGCATTAGTTTGTTAAGAAAATGTACTATGTATATCAAGATCTTTCACAGTTTTGTATTCTTGGACACTAAAAAAATACATCATAAATATTACTCAGTGACAAAAAAAGCCGAACAAGTTGAAATATGTTGTAATTTACCATCTGTTAATTCAGAAATTGCAAAGAAAATGACCGGAGAGTTTTGTCATTCACATCTATAAAAATAATATGAGAAGTGAATGGTTTTCTGAAATGAATATTTGAACAAAAACATCGGACAGAACATCATACAAATCTTTTCTACAGTTTAACTGTTGAAAATATTATGAATACCACTGTATTTTCCAGTCTTTTGCTTTGGTGTAAATGATTAAAGGTCCATAAATGCATTATGAACCATCTCATCAGATGTAGAAATTTTATTAAAGAAAATAAATAACTGAATTATCTTGATTTTTTCAGAGATTAAGAAACACTGAGTTTCGAAGAAGAGGATTGATAGGAAGTGAGAACGAAAGGCTGTATATTAATTATTATTGTTTATATTGTATTATAATTGAAAAAAAAACTAATGGTTATTATAATATTTGATGATAATTTATTTTTAATATCTTCTGTTATTTCTAGTTTTGTTTTATTTATTTTAGAGAAATCATTAAACTCCTATAGTGAACCTTGGTATTTCAATAGTGGTTAACATGTTTTCGACTATTCCAATAAAAAATAAACTTCAATGTTCAAAGAACACAAAGAAGAATGCTAATATATTCAAAGAATCATTTCATGAACCTTATTTTGTTTTTAAACACATTTCCTTAATTTGATGTCCAATGGAAAAATGTTTATAACTATTTTTCTCTTGAATAGTAATCAAAATCAAAAAGTAAGTCTACTTTTGTATTTGTTTCAAAATTGTTAATCAGCTTTATTGTAACTCAATATTTTAGTCAAAAATGTTGAATGCAAAAAAATAAATTCACGATTGAGCATAGGGTACGGTTTTCATGTTCAGTAGTACTTTTTTTCCTAATTATATCAAGGAGGTTACGTACACCGCTATCTGCCCGCGAATAGATCAAGCAATAATGTCGATAATTCTGTCAAATACAGATTCAGAGCTTGAGAATTACAAACATACATACATACAGGTGAAGCTAATAAAAGCTTGATAAAAATGGATTCTTGAAACTTCCTAATAAGTTTTCATCAATCAGTCGCCAATCTGGTTCAGATACGTAGATGATGTTTTCGTCGTATGGCCAAACGGCTCCGCAACTTGCTGTCCGATCCTCAACACTGTCCAAACATCAAGATACAGGACAGAATATAGACTGTTGAACACTAAGACCATCGCCGCAGCAAAAACATACAAGCTGGTGTAATTCGCGAGGTCATCAAAACCGAGAAGCGTCCTTCCTGTCTGAACAAACGTGACAATGGTCAGAGACATCCAACTACCTCCCCCCCCACACTAAGACGTCCGTCCACTACAATAGCACCCAATGATAAAAATACACTTTCGATAACTATAACTCAGTTCGATCTAAAGAGTGGCCAGATGAGACCTCGGAGAGAACTCGTGACAAGACCTGGGGAGTAGGCAGATTAAGGCCCCGGCGTCAAGTCACGTCAATTTATTGAAAACGGTTCAAAATTAGAGTTGAAATGTCGAACACAAAACTCCAGATCCGAGGAACTATACAAACTCAAAGCCGCCCTTAATCAAAACGATTATTCCATCTCCCAAATCCAAAGATCCATTCACCGACAGCAAACCCAAACTCCACATAAGAGTTGCCCCATGAACATACTGACCATCCAAAAGCTTTTCTCCCTTACATCCATGGATTTACCGACAAAGTAATCCAAATTCTGAAGAGACATAACGTAAGAACAATATTCACAGCCAACAATCAAATCTCCAGTCTTTTATGGAAACCCAAGAACGCCAGAACTTATATCGGCAGACCAATAAAATAATTTCCGTAGGTATCAAATCAAAGCTTCAATTATACATCTACAGAAAAAATTAAAACAGTATACAGTTTAACAGAAATAGGCCCTCATCAGAAACCAAAGGTTTTGGAACAAGAAGTAGGAATAAAAACGAAAATTCAAATCTTTTCCGTTTGTTATCCCAAGAAACATCAAATGCCTATAATTAGGTATCATAACTAACTAAAAAATATAATATTAAGAGAAAGAATATATTTCACCTACAGTGAAAAATGAAATTGATTTCAGAAAATAATGTACCTAATTCGAAGTAAGACACGTTGAAAATGAATTCAAAATGGATGGCGCTTATATTTGGCAATCGAAAACGCCGGGACATTCCTCGGAATTCCATCGAAGCCGGTAGAATTATTCTCGCTACATCTAGAACGGTAGCGAACATTGTACATTCGCGCCCTCTTAGCTACGTCACAATTGGTTTATGACTACCAGTGGCGGCCGGCGTTATTTCATTTAGGGCATGATTCACAACACTACCCCCTTCCCTGAGGTTGTTCGCCCCGAACAACATTCCGAGAGGAGACATCACGACCCATGTAAAGACTCAGCTTCTTTATGTGGACAACTTTAGGCTGTACACTAGATGGTTTATCTTTTTGGTTACCAGGTCTCTTGAAATTGAGCCTCAATTTATGTTCAGTATATTCAAATGAAAATTTTATCCGAATTATTCTTCATATCATTTTTTATGTTTTCGTAACTCAGTAATATATAATACTAGTATAATCAGTAAAAAACTTGATCATACTATTAAATTGTAAATTGTCCAATCATTATCATGAGGAAAATCAGGTCTAAAAATAAATCCTTGGGTTGCATCAGAAGCTAAATTTTGAAGAGAGATTTTTTTATTACTAATATAAATATAGATGTCTTCTATCATATTAATAATTTGGAAACCATTCGGAGATTTTATTTCTGATTCCAATATTGAATATTTTTTCAACAATGTACTCTGTTCAACTTTAATAAAGACTTTGCATAAGTCAAGGGACAAGCGTCAACATTTTTTTGTATGTATCAGTTTCCAATAGAATTTGAGACACTACATCCATCCATTACCGTTTTCTATGTGTTCCTAGATCTCCGAAAACCTTATTAACTATTCTTCGAAAGAATTTTTTTACTAGTTCTATGGAAATTGATCGTCATTGCTAAGGCGAGAGGTTGGAAAAGGAAATATAAATCTTGAGTGTACTTGTAGACTAGTGAAAATGACATCAGGTCATTTCATTTTTTTTGACGTGTGTGTGTGGATTTGAGGCTCTGTAGGAAAGTTAACTTTTGGGTTTTGAAAACGGAAAAAGATTATTTTCCACAACCTCAGCCATATAAAGGGAACTAAGTATAGAAAATTTGAAAAAATATTTATAAATACAAATTACTGACTGGACTATTCAATGATTTAAATTAAGCAGTAACATTTCGAGGTGAACTTTTCAATTTGCTCTTTATAACTCTTCAGTAGACTCTCTATTAATTTAACTTTGTTTACTTTTATAGCCCTTATATAGAAAGTTATTGTTTTAAGGATCTTTATTATAATCTAATGCTAACAGCACCGCATCGAGTTCTGCTGAAGAGATGCCAGCATGGAGAATCTGCTAGTTTGANTTGGCTAGAGAATGTCCGAATATGCCCTCCATTAAATTTTCAAAGTGATCCGTTGTCTGGTTCACCAGAAACGTCTAATGTGCCATCCACCGTGAATCAGCCTGTATATGGCGCGTTTTCGACCGGAGGCACCGGTTGACCTGAAGTGATGCTGTGACCGCGCGCTCTCCGCCCTCTATCTCGAAAACGGTTCACCGTATAAAAAATTTTTTAAACAAAATTTGTAGAGAATTTTGTATTCTACAATATTGATAATAAATACAAATAGGAAATGAGATATTTCCAAAAAAAGCGCTAAAAACCGATTTTTGTTACCTTTGACCTTGAAATTTAATAGTTGTAGGTTTTGAGACAACTTTTAGGGTGTAAATATACAAGTATTTACAGACTTACAGCTGGGTATCTCGAATTACGAGATTCTTACCTAATTTAAGCTAAAATGACTGGATTACTGTGTTGGTGCCGACAAAAACTGTTTTATCATTTTGCAGGCTCACCGGAAGGCTCTCCACAATTAAAACATAAACCACTTGCTTGCCGCACTTAAATTCCATTTGCTTCAAACTTGACGAAACTGTTTTAATAAGTTTTCATAAATTTTGTGTTCGCCATATAAAGTTATCTATTATCTATAGTCCACTTCAGTGAAATAGATGTCAAAATAGATCCTTTTAGCAGCACGACTATTTTGATATTAGTTTTTTGGTGTTGAGTTGATTTTTGTATATATCTAAAATAACAATTTGATAGAGATACCGGATTTTGACATCGCTTGATTATATGTAACAAATGTTGCCATATGTTGTCGACGTGGCTAGCACGCAGCGTGGAGGAAGTGTATATCTACTCCGGAGGTAGTTGTTTAGTGATTTCTGAATGTATAAAGAGTGTTGCAAATGCAGATTTTTCCGCCTTGCGCATGGAACATCCGTCGAAGACAATAGTTTTGAATCATCATGTTAAGCGTTCACAACGATCACGCTCACGACCGTAGTTTTCCCCGTTCTTCTTGCTTACGAGCGTAATTGCCGTAATCTCAAGTGGAATGAATTATGGAGCGTTTTGGGCGTTCAGATAAACATTACAAATGGCAAGGTTTAAAAAATAATGTTAATGTGGGTTAAGTAAGCCTTAACAAATATAAGTTTCAATAATTGCAAGATAACATTATTTACATTAAAAAAGGAGTATAATTTAATTTTTTGTAATGTAGTTCATCGATATTCAGATGAAGAATTTAAAAGTCATTTCAGGTACATGATATTCTATCACATATCTGTCTTGTTGACATCTTTAAGCTTTAAATGTCATATTTCAAAAATTGCGCCACCTCTTCAGATGGGTCTTTGTGAGCTTGCCATGATACTCCAGTCATTTAAGCTTAAATTAGGTAAGAATCTCGGAATTCGAGCTACCCAGCTGTAAGTCTGTAAAAACTTGTGTATTGACACCCTAAAAGTTGTCTGAAAACCTACATATGGTAGGGCGTACGCAACTATTAAATTTCAAGGTCAAAGATCACAAAAATCATTATTCTTCATATCATTTTTTATGTTTTCGTAACTCAGTAATATATAATACTAGTATAATCAGTAAAAAACTTGATCATACTATTAAATTGTAAATTGTCCAATCATTATCATGAGGAAAATCAGGTCTAAAAATAAATCCTTGGGTTGCATCAGAAGCTAAATTTTGAAGAGAGATTTTTTTATTACTAATATAAATATAGATGTCTTCTATCATATTAATAATTTGGAAACCATTCGGAGATTTTATTTCTGATTCCAATATTGAATATTTTTTCAACAATGTACTCTGTTCAACTTTAATAAAGACTTTGCATAAGTCAAGGGACAAGCGTCAACATTTTTTTGTATGTATCAGTTTCCAATAGAATTTGAGACACTACATCCATCCATTACCGTTTTCTATGTGTTCCTAGATCTCCGAAAACCTTATTAACTATTCTTCGAAAGAATTTTTTTACTAGTTCTATGGAAATTGATCGTCATTGCTAAGGCGAGAGGTTGGAAAAGGAAATATAAATCTTGAGTGTACTTGTAGACTAGTGAAAATGACATCAGGTCATTTCATTTTTTTTGACGTGNAATTCCTATATTTTCATTAACAATTCTGCAATTACATGGGGAGGTAAGTGTTGTTAAATAAATTAATACTGAATAAAAAGTGGAAAGATTAGGAAAAAAATGATAAAATATAATAAAATTGTTTATAAAAATTGACAAATATTTATAGTCATTGATTTATCGATAGTTCATCAACTATATATGGCGCGTTTTCGATCGGAGGCACCGGTTGACCTGAAGTGATCCTGTGACCGCGCGCTCTCCGCCCTCTATCTCGAAAACAGTTGACCGTATGAAAACTTTTTTCAAACAAAATTTGTAGAGAATTTTGTATTCTACAATTGATCATGAATATAAATAGCGAAAAACCCATAGGAAATGAGGTATTCTCAAAAAAAAAAACACAAAATTCGATTTTTGTGATCATTGACCTTGAAATTTAATAGTTGCGTATCCCCTGTTATATGTAGGTTTTCAAACAACTTTTAGGGTGTCAATATACAAGTATTTACAGATTTACAGCTGGGTATCTCGAATTCCGAGGTGAACTTACTATAATGACTGGACTATGAGCAAAAGTAATAAATTCAAATAACATCATGAGTGACGTTTTCGCCGCGAACTCAACGACCACGGTCGTTATGTGGAACGGTTGAAGGAGTATTTTGATCTTTGTGAGTGCTTAGTGGAACGCACGGCATGAATACGTTTCAAATCATAGTTGTGTGACGTCATCTTATCAACGCTAGAATAAATCACAGACGAATACGTTTTGAATACATGAGCGCCAGAAAACGCCTTATAATTTAAAAAATCTTTCAGCTGATGTTATTCCCAAATGTAACCAACATTGAGAATTGAAGTATCATCTTCTTCTTCTTCCTTTGTTTATGGTCTTTGCTTCCCTTTGGCGCAGTAGACCAAAGTGTCATCTTGATATTGTGAAGTAGTGTGTCACTTGAGGTGTACTAATAAGTAGCTCTGTGAATAGAATGCTGAAATTTATTGTATCTCTTCATATTTACAAGATGCATAGAAATAATCAATACCATGGTGTAAACACTATTTGAAATATTTGACGAAATCATTCAATCTACGGCACTCTTGATTCTTCATAATAATAATCATAAGAGATCCAACATACTGAAGTATATTGGATCTCTTGTTATTCCATCTATCGGTATGTGTACAAAATTGAGTCAATCAAATTTCTCGCGTCCAAAGATTTTGACAGAACAGAAGCAAATCAGTAAAAACACAAGGGTTTCTATGCATCAGTAAAAACACAAAAGTTTTTATACATCTTTATTATTTCTTCATCAAAAGTGCCGTAGATCGAGAGTTCTCTCTCTTTCTATATGATAATGGATTTTGCTACCATTGAGGTGCATTAAGCCAAAATCGAGAGTTATTAATAAAATATTTTACATGGGGAAGGGTTCCAAGTTCCCAACCGGTTTATTTAATGCATCTTGGTACATGGCTACATGAACATTAAAAAAAACTGAAAACACAAATCTCATTTCCACAATGAGAAAATGTGATATCATTCTAGTTTGTCTCGTAGAATTAGTAGATTTTTTGTCCTTTGTTTGAATATAGAATGAAGTAAATTTTCAGGGTTTTTTAAATGAGAAGTGAATTGATAAAAATACAAAACTGGGGCAATAGTTGCTGCGGAGGAAACATAACATATCACAACATAATATATAAGGGATTTGTTGATGTTAATGATGCGCAACCTAGCGGAAATGATATTCATGGAAATTATAAAGGTAAGCGATTTTCAATATTTGAATTCATTTTTATTCATTCATAATCGAAAAACTACAATAGTTTATACAGAGATTTATTTATACAAAAAATATCTATACATAACTATATAACTTCAAAGGGAGCTATTTCAGAATTGGTCTGATTGATAACAAAAAAAAAAAAACAAATATGATTATGTGAATTAATAAAACAAATATTTCTTCTGATTTCTTCCTTGAGAAGTTTCATCAAAGAATGTTCTCTCTCTCCATTTTGGATGGTCATTGCTTCCTACCTTTAGGCGCATATGACCAATGCTCCTCTTGTAGGTTGACAGGATCTTCGTCGGGGGGCGCAGCGGTCTTGCACGAAGCAATGCTGCCACCAATTTTTTTTCTATTATAAAAACAATTTGATATTTATGAAGTCGCCTCCTACTTGGGAGACCTTTTGCTTTTTCTTCCACATATACAACCCCCTTTATGAGGTTATCCGAACCACTCCGGCTTGGATACCGGCGTGAATAAAGGGGGCCCTTTATTCATTACTTTTTTTTAAAGACTCTCACACTTTTCAGTAAATAACACTATGGACTAACATAACACAAAAATGAGCCACACGATAGCACATGGTATCTGCGTACCTTCTTCGTGGGCGGACGTGATCAGCACGTTTTCCACTACCACTGCCACCACAGAACCAGTTCCATCTCAGAATTATAAATTCTATTTCGTGGTTTGACACGACGTCCCGACACGACGTCCTGACATTTCTGACGTCAAGGCATTGCGTCACCGAGCGTGCGCCAGACAAACCTCTTTACATGAAGTGATTCATTAAATGAAGTAGTGTATTTGGACGGTGAATTGTATGTTTGGTAGTTAAAATACCATCAAGAAGATGCTCATCAAAGAATAGTAAGTACCATTGATTTTGTACTACCAGCTATCTAGAAATATGATGTTTGAATTGTAACTTTAAGTGATGAATTGTGAAGTTGTTGGTGGAGGTAACTCTTTCCAAAAAGTTTCAATTTTGGGTGTCCAATTACATGTTATTCTGTACAAAATATGGTTCAAATATCCTATGATTTTTCATTTGAATTTAATGATAAAGTCCTTTGAAAATCTACAAATTTTCGATAATTTTCCATTAAAGACCTTGGCTCTTCAAATGGCATTGAAATCATTTTATTTTGAATATTTTCATACTTGTTTCTTTATTTTCCAGCCGTGTGACGTTGCCACTAACAGTGGAAGAGGTAAGATTCAATATTATTTGATAAAATGGTGTGCAATTATATATTAATTACACCTGATTATCCTTGACTATATATAATTTGGAAAATGAAACATACATTTTCAATTTACAAGTATGTTTGATAAGGATAAGGTTCCACTATAATTATTTCTATTCCACAGTAATTGTAAAGGGTCATAAAACTTTTTAGCTATCAAGTAGTATGCTTATATAATAACTTGAATTACAAAATTCAATTGTGAAAACAATATATAAGCTCATTGATCGACAGATTTATTATGGAATGTAATATTTTATCGCCTACAACCATGTTTAAATCTTCCCCTTTATCACTTTCTGTGAGTACTTTAGAACTAATTAAGTCTTCCTCTATGAAAGGCTTCTTATACATGCCATACATTTGCCTATGCTGATATAGTTTTCGTCTAAGTCTATACTACATTGTAGTATTTAGTAATTTTTAGATGATGCAGGTTATTTCCTACATTAAGATTCTTCAAATTTTTGGACTTTCCACAAAAATAATAATGCAAATATAATTAGTAATGAAAACTTTGAATGTTTGACTTATAAGGTTATTTTTATTGTCAAGGGTAGTAATAAGATACGAGGGTGGTCCTATAAGTACCCGCCCCAACAAAGAAAACACAAATTTTGGTAAAAAATGTATTTATTTTTCAATAATCTCCTTGCAGCTCTATACACTTTTTCCGGCATGTTCAATAAGTTCAATACCGTTTTTATAATAAGAACTGTCTTGCTCCTCAAAATAGCTATTAACTGCCGACATCACTTCTTCATCGTTGGAAAATCTTTGACCGCTGAGTCATTTTTTCAAGTTTGGGCACAGAAAATAATCCAAGGAGGCTAAATCTGGTGAATAGAGTACATGAGGTAGCAATTCAAATGTCAATTCGTTAATTTTGGTCATTGCGATAATGGATTTCTGAGCTGGTTCTTAGCCACATGCGGCCGTTTTTGCTTGATTTTTTCACTCAAATGATGCAATAAGTTCGCATAATACTCTCTGTTGATAGTTTTACCTTTTATAAGATAGTCAATGAAAATATCCCATACGCATTCCATGCCATCACCCTAATGCCATGACCTTGCTTACAGATGAAACGGTTTTCGCTTTCTTTGGAACCGGTTCTCCTTGTTGAGTACACTATTTTGATTGTTCTTTTGACTCCAGTGTAAAGTGAGGGACCCATGGACCCATGTTTCATCCATGGTTATGAAATGATGCAAGGATTCTGCTTTGTTGCTATGAAACTTCGCCAATTGAAACATCTCCACAACACTGTTTTTGCTCGAGTGTGAGCAAACGCGGCACCCATCTGGCACACAGCTTTCTCATGTCCGAACTTTCAGATAATATACAATGTATCGTACTTTTTGAAATGCTTACTAATTGTGCTAGCTCACGCACTTTCCTTCGACTAACATTCAGTACCCCTTTGTGGATTTTCTTCACCATTTCAGAGTCGTCACCTAATTTAGTCGACCGTTGCGATGCTCGTCTTGGCAGCTCGTGTGGCCTCGTTTAAATGCTGCGATGTAATATTGTACTGTTGTAAACGAAGGAGCAGACTCACCCAGAGTAGAATCCAGTTCAGCTTTCAAATTGGTTGGGCTGAGGCCTTTCAAGTAAAAGTATTGTACCACATAACGAAGACCAATTTTCCTCATTTTCACAAATTCACCGAAATCATTTGCTATTGATGGCTGTAAAACAAATACTAAACAACTCAGCGTCCCAAAACATGAAACATATGCCTTATAGACTTTGTACTTTCTAATTCAGTAATATTTTTCAGTAAATTGATGGATGTAGCCGTTACTACGTGGTAGGAGATCAACATGAAAAATGAGCAATGAAACTTTCTCTTTTTATTTACCACTTTTATTTGTAACTAACGTAACTGCAGTTTTGTTCTATAGGGACATTATTAAAATAATACAGCAAACAATAGTTCTAGGACCACCCTCTTATATTCTACATTATGTTTGTCACAAATAAATTTCCAATTATTTTCGTTTGTAACTGAAAAAGTTGAACTGTCAATGAGACAGATTTGATTTTTATTCTCATTGTCAATCATCTATGTAGCTCTCCTCAACTTAATAAATTTAATAACTGAACAAATTTTTCAGTACCAAGTTGCTCAGCTGTTCAGTGTTGCTGAGGCATCCAAAGACAACACTGGGGGAGGTGAAGGTATTGAGGTTTTGAAGAACGAACCTTTCACCAACTTTCCCCTTCTAGGGGGCAAGTACAATTGTGGTCAGTATACTTACAAAATTTATCATTTGGCCAGTAAGGTGCCATCTTTCATAAGACTTCTGGCCCCAAAGGGAAGTCTTGAAATTCACGAGGAGGCCTGGAATGCCTACCCTTACTGCAGGACTGTGATTACGGTAGGTTTTTCTAAAAATTATTAATCGTTATGAAAAATATAGAGCGATGAGTGATGAAATCGACATTGAACAATACTTCTTTAGCTAAACCCAAAACTAAAAATTCTGTTTCTAGACAATAATTTTTTTCATCAAAAAAATATTGAATGAAAAGTTAAGTCATTATTTATTCCCATGGTGTCATCATTTCCACTTCTTTCTGATGATTTTTTGTTGACAGAAGAGTTAGAAAAGTTGCATCCTAGTACTACTGATGATACCTTAGACAGATCAAAGCAGTACTATCATGGTCACATTACTTTAACTGTGGTTAATTGTCTGTTATAGTATGCCATAGTTTGATACAGAAAGCAATTTATTTTTATTCAGCTAGGCATTATGCTACTTCCTGTATATGTTTAGATCGAAATCCATAAAAATTTAGACAAATTGATCAGACTATGATAAATTTCATTGTAAACAAGATGTTGTGGAATTGGTCGCGGGGGTATTGCGCCCGACTTACGATCGGAAGGCCGTGGGTTCGATTCCCGCCTCGACCAGATATTTTTCTCGAGAGAATTTATCTGGTTGAAGTGGGGATGTTTCTGCAACCGTGTTAGGAATCACACGTTAAAAGGTAAGACCTCGTTAGTCCTTAGCTCGCACAAGTTTCTCAACTTCTGAGAGTTGTCGTTCTTATGGGGGCGACAGCTGATTAACGGAAAAATAGGTTTTAAAACAGACAGACACTTAATACCAGTCCCTTTATAGATTCAATCATAACAAATCACACAAAAAATATGTATGATTAGCAAAATAAAAAATAAATAAACGAAAAACAATATTAGTTGAATGGAATCATAAACTTATTTAATATAGGAAATATGGATTCAACCAAAATCGTCATAGTAATGAAATCAGAAGTGAATTATCAAATTCAACTTTTGTAAGGGTAAAAATTGAAGTGCACATGAAACTTTCAGATCTTGTGAAAAAGTTTGAAACGAAATCTATAGGACCATTTCATTTCATTAATAATTTTCATGATAATTGTAAAGGCACTAACAAAAATTTCATAAATATTAATTTCCGCGATCTTTTCATGGTTCTTTAAGATATTAAGTCAAAATTGTCCAAAGTTGCAGAGTAGGTAGGTCAGTGATCAGAACAATAAATGAAAACCAACTCCCATAGGTATTTTTTCTAGAATAATATATTAGATCAATTCTATTGGAGAAAACACACAACAGAATGTCTAGTACTTTACATCTGAGGTGACATTGAAAGATACATTGTAATAGAATATGTCTATATTGCGAATTGAGATATTCTTTTCATAGAGAATTTCTTGATGATTCAGTACTTTATTTCAATTTGAGATACACAGAAGGTACCCGAACTTCAAAATTTAGCTTTTCTATTCTATGTTTTCCTATTCAATATCCAAATTATTTACCGCTAGCGACCCACTCCGGCTCCGTACAGATGCAATGCTGATACTAAATACATAAAGTGCTTTAGGGCGCAGCGCGGCCTTCGACGCGCTATTTAAAGGTACGTGCCGTCGGACCCCCGACCGGTACCGCCGTAACCGCTATGTCCCTGCATTTTGATTCTAATATCTTCGAGAAGATTCATTTAAATTACATGCTGTAAAGGGCCACATTGATCTATATTAAATGCACAATGTTTTTATGGTACTTGATTGGATAAGGATCAATGCTGTATTGCTTAAAATCACTTCATAAAAAAGTAAAGGATATTTTTTTTTTATTGTGGGTTATCCCTTTAAGGCAGTGTTTCTCAAACTTTTCGAATTCACGGCTCTCTTATGTTTTTTGAATGTTATCGCGGCGCCCCGAACGTAAAGACTACACTAGATATTCAATTAATAAAAGTAGGTAGGTGGCTGTCTGAACGGATTGCATTTTGCAATTACCGATATTATCATATTACCGATATTTTATTAATAGGTACCGACATATTACCTTTACTCTCGGTTATCTATGTTGCAAAACGTTGTACCTTGAGACTCACCCGTGGCCGACGGCGCCCCAGTAAAAGTTCCACGGCGCCCCAGGGCGCCGCGTCGCACACTTTGAGAAACACTGCTTCAAGGTGTACAATACTGTAGTACATTTTTTTTTCTATTATGTAGCGTTCGGCCAGCGTTTGCAATGTAAACCCCAAAAAATGTGTTTATTTACGACATCATATCAGAAACCTCTAAAATTATCAGTGTTCACTATATTATGCATGTTATATACATATAAACCTTCCTCTTGAATCAATCTATCTATTAAAAAAACATGCTTCAAAATCTGTTACGTAGTTTCAAAGATCTAAGCAGACATAAGGACAGACAGCAGGAAACGACTTTGTTTTATACTATGTGGTGAGGAGTATTATTGTCAACATATTTTTTTCGTTTTCTTGATATACTAGTAAAATGGCCAAAAAATACATCGAAAATATACCATCAAACTTAAATTAACAAAGAAAAACATTTTTTTACTGATATTGAAGATTAAAATTCACTTTGATATTTATTAATGATGAAGACTACCAAGTTACCAATAACAAAACAAACCACCTTAATAGAAGAAAATTCATATGTATAAATTCAAATATCGTATTGTAATATTTGAAATAGTGCAAAAATTACTTTTGTACCTTTCAATCGAAAGTTTTCTATTATACTGATTGGTGTAAGAGAAAACTTTCAATAATTACTCTCATAAAGTTGGAGCATCACGAAAAATATGAAATACATATTCCGTATTCACATAACCACCAACTCTAATGTTTTAGATAGCTTCATTTTATTAGACAATAATAATTAAGGCTCCATTCAGAATTAATTTCTTCCTTGGTAAATATTTATTTTTATTGGTAAAATGTAATTTTGTCAGATTTATGTGTAATTAATTTTTTAATACTTTGATAAAATCTTTACTAATATAAAAAGCCAAGTACCTTGAACTTTTCATCAATATGTGGTGACTCGTTGAAATGAATAAAATTTTATCTACTCACTACCTAATTTTTATGCGTTTTCCAGGCAAATAAAGGTTAACAAAGTGTTGGGAAACATCACGTTTAATCTCCAATCACTATTTATTTGAATAATATGCAACTCACATATATTTCAATTTATGCACATTTAACAGCTATTCATTCTTAAATACTTGAATAATAATCATTTTTAGATTATATGAAGTATTGTTTTGATCAGATATGTGAATGAGACTAGACTAAACATTTTTCATCTGTTCTCTAGGAAAAACGTATTTTACTAATAAAATGATAGCTTTTTAGCCCATACCATTGTACATTATAATGGCTGATACCCAAATCAATATACAAGGCATCGTTGAGTTTTTTTGTATAGTTAGAAATTTGTGAATGTATATTTTTAAGTGGACGTGGACACAAGTTTTTCAATTTTTTCAGACTTTTTTCTTCCTTTTAAGCGAGATGAGTTGAAATATGATTTAAAAAGTGGGAGTGGTGGAAATTTTTGCCAAAATCAATATTGTGGCACTATTATATCATCAATTAAACCTTTCGAGAAAAAAATGATTGTAGTAGGCAAGCAAGTAGAATTTCGATGGTTTCTTGATTTATCTAGTTGAAGTTAAGTTGATTCTGCGACGTCCCCGAGCCCTAGATGGCTCGGAGAGTTATTAACATTGCCTACCCAGTACTCGAGGCTAATGACCGATGTAGTCGATGCCGATGACACGAAGAAAAATTAAAGCTTTTCTTCTCGATTGTAACTTGATAATTAACTATTAAATAACATACCCATAACATTCTGTACTAGGAACCGCATGTTAAAAAGTAAGACCTCGTTAATCATTACCTCATACAAGTTTTATGAGGGTTGTTTTTCGTAAAGGGACATCAGCTGGTTAACGGTTAGTTTTTTGTGAATACTACCTACGACTTTGTAGGATATCACAATTCACCTCTCCAGAATATTAATCATTATTCCAACTCCCACCCCGAAGTATGCTTGTGAAGTTGTTTCCTGGCTCTGTCTGCAGGTGGCGCAGTGGACATCCCACTGAATCAACTGCAGAAAAATTCTATGACTAGCTGGAATTATTTTCATTTGGTCGTAATACTCAGACGGTTCACATCGTTCTGAAGAGATCATGCCCGGTACTGATGATGGGGAAATCACACCGAAAGTGGTCTATCGGTTGGTCGGATCGACCAAATGAAATTAATTTCTGCTTTTCATAGTGGGAAGTAACTTGGGACGAATCTTCCAAGTCCAAGTCGAAGACGTACAGGTGCCTGATGGTTTTACTTCAACTCTCTGCGCAGCATTAGCTGGGTGGGTTGTTGTTGTTGAAGAAATGTACAATAAAATGAATTAACATTGAATTACATGAAAGAAAAATACTTTCGAAAAAAATACTTTTATATGAACTCTGAATTAAATGAAAAACATTCGTCTCTATTCCGTTTGTATTCCAAATATTCGTATGGAATCGAATCAGATATCATTCACAGGATTTCTATACAATATAATAAATGCAAGAAGTAAAATTTCACTTACATAGAACTTGCCTTATCGACTCTTTAGTACCAAATACGGAAAACATTATAAGAAAAACATATGGTCTCGGAGATATTTAAAATGTAATTTACAGGCTAATCTCAATATTATCAATGTAAAATTGATTCTGACACTCATACACTATGACACTGTCGAACAATAAAGTATCCCTCAGATTTAAATATTTATAAATTTTTCAGTTTCGTATGAAGTGTATCGAAAGTGGGAATTTTGTGATGCTATTTTCATTCAGCCCCTTTAATAAATGTTTCAGAACCCAGGCTATATGAAAGGAAACTTCAAATTAGTTATAGAGACTATGCACGCCCCTGACAAAGGTAATCAAATGAATGTAAGTAATAATTTGTATCTTCTTTTTTTATGTTCATGGTGTTCATGGAATACTGTTAATGGTTATGGGGATATTATCTTCATTCTTCATATTTATGTAAATATACATATGGTATGGTCACATTTTCAAAAACACAAAAGAATCCTGGTTACATGAAGGACAATTTTGTTATTTGTATTGAGAGTATGCACATTGCAGACACTGGCAAGCAGGAAAATGTAAGTAAGATGTTGGTCAAGTAGTTAGATGTGTTATAACAAATAGTTCAAACTGTTTATATTTGTTTTCCAATTTTTTATGTTTTACATATTCCTAAGTACTGCTCTAATCTAACCATACAATCTTCTATCATTCAGTTGTCCAAGCTATGTGTTAATTTTATTTGAGTTTCATGAATGAAAGCATTTGAACCCGTCTTCAGTTTGAGGTCTCCGAAAGAGTGTTGTGAAAATTTTTCACAGATGATACAAAGAAACAGCCGAACAAATTTGATCTATCTTCTCTCTCTCTCTCTCTCTCTCTCTCTCTTCCTCGTTTATGTCTGCAAATATATGGGAAACATTGCCGCAATTCAACTAATTCTTTATATCTTACGAGCTCTACACACACACAGAAGTATTTGAATAGCTGCCCATAAGCACATGCATGTCTCCGTGCGTGCACACACACACCACAAAAACCTTTACTATATTCGTGAATAAACTATAATACAAATCAGACCGCTTGTGTAAACCTGCTAAATGTCTTTTGTTGCCAGAGTTTCTGCATCGCATTGTGCTAACATTTGCATGATTTTAGACTCCTCTGATGTTTATAAAATATTTCGAAACCGATATCGGCTGTTTCCTGATGACATTTCTTTGCTTTCAGGTTCACCAATTGTCCAATGATAAACTTAAGCAAAGGGAAATAATTCACATTGACATTGCCAATGACCCTGTAACCTCAGCAGATTACAAGGAAGATGAGGATCCTACTAAGTTCAAATCACAAAAAACTGGCCGGGGTCCGTTAGTGGGGCCAGACTGGAAAGAAAAAGTCAACCCTGTGATGACATGTTACAAACTAGTTACTGTAGAATTCAAATGGTTTGGATTGCAGGTAATGATCATTACTTCAAAACCACTTAGAACTCAGTTCTTCTTTATCAGGTACCATTACAATTCAATGCCAAATTTAAAAATACATCATATTAAAATACTTCAATAGTTGCTTACTTTTTTTCATCACATAGGGAAGTTTTCTTGACAGAAGAACAAATAATACTATTGATACAGCATTTAAAAAACCAGTGAATATATTGGTTGTTATAAAATATATATAGACATCGAAATTATCATAATTTACAAATAAATATGAAAATATAACAAGATACAAAAAATGGTTGAAATTTGAAAAAGTGAACAAATTGAAATAATTCTATGTAAATCGAAAGTACAAGTGTTATCAAGACTAGCACAGATTAATTTTCTCTGCCAATGTAATGTAATGTATTTGACGTAAAGTAAAAAAGGCAGTTCAAACCTTGCTAGATATTAAATATTATGGCAGGGGAGGGTAGTTTCTTCATTCTGTAAACAGGTAATTGTTCTTTCGATATTTACTGTTTATATTTTTCAGAACAACCAGTATCTCTCGCCTTCAAATTAGTCTGTTGGAAATATATTTTTGAGAAATGTCCAGACAATTGATTATATAGGACAGGCATTATTGTATTTCTTATATTCTAATTAAATTGGAAGTAAAACTCTTGCAATAAAATGCTGGCCAGCTTGAAAATTCATGCGAGAGGTTTGGTAATTCAACTAATATCAAATGTTGTTTTTGTTGGAAAAGAGATCAAAAATTTTCGTAGATGAACATTTAAGTTTTTGTCAAATTGTAAAAAGTATTGGCGGCATTCATATTTATTCCTTATGATTTTTTTTTAGTAAAGCCTTGATGATGGATTCAATCAAGTTCGAAATGTTGGCAAAAACTAAATTGTTCATTCCTTTTCTAACAAAACATTTGATGATACTGAAAATTTATATTAAGAAGATTAAGAAAATAATTAATTCACAAGTTATGTAAGTAAAAAAAGTGTTGAGATTTCTCAAGTGTTTTTTAGAAATTTACAAATCTGGAGCATGCATATGGTGCCTTGATATGTGCATACAATGATTTTATTGAAACACCATCAATGGAATTTAATATTTTTGTATCATATTATAAACTATTGATTCAAATATTATTGCTGATTGAAAACTGTTTCCAAACTGAATTCATCTAGTTGGGGGATTGACTATGCTACGTTACATGGCTGACTGGACTGCCTAAAGTCATGATACTCCTCAAGTGGCCCGAGAAGTTCATTGTTATTAAATTGTTATTAAGTTATGTTTAACTTCCCCAGAAAACGGGGCTAATGACCTTGGTAGTAGTAGTTGATGCCGTAGATACCAACAGAAAAAAAAACTTGTGTTTCAAATTCCAATGTAGATGTAATATTTCACACGATTTAATACAATTGAAAACCAATAATCATGTTAAATATGTAAATGTACCCTCATTTATTGCTAGTAATAATGAATATGTAATTCCAAAAGCAATGCTGTTTTAAGTTAAATAAGATCAAATGAAAAAGTAACTTATGGCTATGATTACCTATCAACTTATGAAATATAATCAGATGCAAAATAGTAGCTCTATATTTGATTTACTGTTTTTGTAACAAATAAATATCTGTTGATTTATAACTCGGAATATATACAAGCGAGACATAAGTGGAACTACCTATTGGTGTGACACCCAAGTCAACTTGCCAAGATTTTATGTCAGTGTTGGTGGCTTGACCAATACACCGACAACTGCGGTAGCAGAAGTTTGGGAAGCTAACCTGAAATACCATCGGAAAACGAATCCACATGTTTCTAGAAATGATATGAAATCGAGAAAGGTTAATGCAGTCAAGCTGATGGAAAATAATTCCATGAAAATCAAAAGATAAATAGTTAGGTGCTATTCTGATCATTCCCATATTGATTTCAATTTAAGAGCCACCGGAAGACAGCTGTTTCAGCCTATTGGGCATCTTTAGTACCGGGCAGGCGGTCCTCGATTGAAGACAAAATGTGAATAACCAAGAAAAGGACTTGATAAAAATAACTGCATAAACGGAAGCGAGACATGAGTGGAACCAACTATTGGTGTGACTCCCAATGAATTTTCACAATAAAACGTCTAGAAGGGTCGGGTCAGGTAAAAGTGGTGTCCATTTAATAGGACCATTGTTTCCCATCCATCATCCCGACATAGTGACAAATAGTTCTATGATGTGGTGAAGATCCATCACGTTGAAAATACTGATATTTTCTTAGAATATTCAAAGGCAAATCTTTCAACAACTCAACTAGGGTCTCCTACAAGAATTCCAACTATAATTCCTTCGTCAAAGATGTCTCAAGAAAGAAGGGACCTATAATCCTGGTATCCAGCACACCAAGCCAAATATTATTTCCAAATCCCCCTTACAAAGTTACTTATTTCATTATTGTGACAATGTTGTAGATGGCTCCTAGCCATCTATATTTTTTATCCGTCACAGTCCGTTGAATGCAAATAGTGGCTTTTCTGACTTTGTAAAGTCTGAGTTATTTTTCTTTTCAAAATTTTTCGATCTGACGTAGTCGATATAGCACTACGATGTGCAATCTCTCTCAATAATACTTCTTTGTTCTCAATTTTCAATAATGAGGTCAGTCCAGTTGGGAGTACACCAGGGATCTATACTTTGGCCAGTCTTATTTGTATTATATATCAATAATATAGACAGGAAATTACCATATTCTGCAGTAACGCCTATGCAGATGATATTAGTTTGGTGATATCTGCCAAAGCGACAAATGAGTTAACACAAATGTAGTGCCAAAAACTAAATATGGCAATTCTAGTTTTTGACGAATATTTCAAAAGCAACCACTGATATTCTCGATCTGAAAAAAGATTACTCTAGTTCCCCAATATAGGAAACATTTGTCCAATTTAACCGACCTATTAGGTCTTACCGTTTCTAAGATAGCATTAGTGGCATCATTTAAAAAACGGCTTGTAAATGTACAGTGATTGATGCAAAAAAGAAAGAAATGAATTATTCGGTAAATTTATTTTAAATAAAATTTATTCTGGTATTTTGCTCATAGATGAAATTCTCTATGATATTTATAATAGTTTCACTGATTAGTGAGATATAACTACTAAGTATTTTCAGGCAAGTATTTTGTTGGATGGACCGTTGGCATGGATTGACAATGGAAGATATCCGAGCAATAGAAGATAAAACAAAGGAAGAATTGGAGGCTCTTCGTCAAAAGGGTGAAGTTCGAGGATTACGAGCTGAGTCTGACTAAATCATACTATCAGAACTATGGTATAGCTAATTTTATTTCGAATCCACTTGAAAACGAAACAACTGAGAGCTGTCTGAAATAACTGTGAAAGAAGCTCACTAAAACTGTTTTCTGAATGTTTGAAATCTTTTTAAGCGTAAAACTTTTTTAACTTATTTTATATTATTAATGGTGCATTTATCTCTTACATTGTGAAATTGAAGTATATTTATATTGAATGAGTAGTTACCATGAGATTTTTTTCTCGGAAATGTGTTTTCTAGGCAGTTCAAAGGGCCTGTTTTTCAGACATCTACTGAATACGTGTTCTAAGTGAAAAATATGAAATTTAGGGAAAAATAATGAAAAAAAATCAATGATTTTCATTGGACTCCAAACTTGTATATTGTGTTGCAATTATGTTTGAATAAATTTTTATTTTATACTTGTTTTATTTGATTTTCTGCTTATGTTTAATTTCTGCTTTTCTTTCATTATTTTTCTGCTTGATAACCCATTCCTTAAATAGATAGCTGGTTAATAGTAGGTTACAGTAGCAAGGAAAGTAATGAATTTTTGTTGCTGAAGTAAATTTATATTATCTATGCTTGATTGGTAGAGCAACATAGATATTTTTTTGAAAATTATATATGTTGAAATATTTAGATTGGTAATCAAAACTTGACTGACGAAAATAATTGCAGGAAAACTGCACAAAACATACCGAAAATAGCTAAGTTGTTAAGTATAATATACTTTTTTTCCATTTTCTTTATTTCAATAAATATTTACAAGTGTATGGATACCGATTTGTTTTGAGATCCGTCATTTATTTGAGGTCATTTTTATCAGAATTTTTTTTAATATATTATAAGATTGAGAGACCTACCTCAAAAACGAATTTACTCTAGCAATGAAATGATGTGTAATATGGTTGATTTTTTTCCATTCATCAAATGGAAGAGGGACTGTTTTATTAAAAAAGGGAGTGTTCTCCTTCTTCAATAGTAAACAGTGTTTAGGAAGTAGTTTTTCAATTACTGTCAGGTTTTGGCATCATGAAGATTGTGTTGATATTTGCCTAGGTGTTTCCTAGAGTATATACTGGTGGTATGGAACATATTTTCCTACTCATAACTGGAAACTTGAAGATTTGTGTACTGATAATAATCAATTTCAGAAATTAATTTAGATTACTTTGATTTCATCATATTTGTAATAGTCACCCCTATGATAATATAGAAATTAACATATCGATTCAAATATCAAAAAGACATTTCTATAAATTTCTGCTACAGTTTTTTCTGTGACAAATGTATGCTTCTTCAAAATCAATTTTGAGATCACTTTTAGTACTTTTAAAGCTGAGTGTCATAAAACTTGTTTTAAAAATACCTGTTGATCTTTATTAGGGGAGTGTATTATAGTAGGAAAATATGTTCAACTGATTTTTTTTCCTATATATACACAAACGTTTCCTCTGAAAACATAGAAATATACGTTTTGTCTAGTCTTGTTGTTCAAATTGATGGTTATTTATAAGAATTACTCCATAGTTCCATAGCAATGTTGAACATGTATAATATTTATTAAACATTTTGAAACGTGCTTTAATTGTCTTGTTTGAGTTTCAAGATTTGATTTTAGGAAAATTGAGGGAGAGAAATGAAATTCTTTATCCGTAGTAAGTAATTGAAATTATTGACAAGCTTTTTAATAGAATAAAGATCAATAATATCGGGGATAAGAATTTTGAGTAGTGTCCGACCGAAACTGGTTTTTACGACCGAAAACGAATTTTGGCAACGGTTTCAGTTTCGGGCGAAACCGAAACTTCCATACAAGGATTATATTTTGTGTCAGTCTCTATTTTTCTATATTTAAATCACAACATTATGCAGTCTTCGATATTTTTACTTATTTATAATCAACATACCTAACAAACCCTTGATTAAGAAAAAATATTAATTGCACCTTAAAATACGTGAGGTGTTTGAGTAGGTGTGATTCTTTTTTTTTTAATATTATTGATGGTTTTTCATCATAATGTTAAAAACAAAATTACTTATTTTAGTTGTTACCTTATACCACAATAGGTACTTAATATTTATGTAATAAACAAAGTAAGTCATAACATGATTAGGAACGTGGACGCGACATGTATGACATTCAACGCGCCGAACATTACCGATCACAGCGCGGAAACTACCGAATGCAGTTTCGGTCGTAGTTTCGGCAGGTTTGCCACCGAAACCCGTTTTTTTTCCGAAACTCAACCGAACTTTCAGTCGGACACTAATTTTAAGTACTTGTGCATATCCATTAAAAAGTATTTCATGATTTTTATCAATCATTAGCTTTCTGAAAAATTTGTCCCTGTGTAGCCCATCCAATGTAGTCTCAGTTAATGTTGAGAGTTTAACATGTTATTACATGATTAAAAAATAAAAACATTTGATGAACCTCTAAAAAATTTTAATTAGCAATTTTGTTAATTATATAACTAATAACATTAAATCCTTTTGCATTAGAGTGTCCGTGAAGCAGTGCCAATTACTGAAAAGAAAATTGTTAATAATACTTCATTGCAAAATTTTCACTGAATAGTTCACAAAACCCCAACACGTTTCACAGTACAATAGTTTCTTTAGGCTTGTTCATAGGAAAGCAGTAAATTCATCTGGAATTCAAATCTCCTTCTTTGTAGGGTTAGAGTAACACGTGTGGTCTTCACCGGCATAATGCTGCCTAAGAGTATAGTATCCACTCAAACACAGTAGTAATGTGATGAAAGCTGTTTTTCTTGGCATGATTCTGATTTCAAAAGCATTCCATTTATGCTCTTTCGATTCCTCTCAGTTGCCACTTTTCAGTCCGTCTTAAATGAAGGAATCTTGATAATTTGATAGTGGGGGTACTTAAATTTTTTTTTAAATTGTCGATGATTTTCTGGGCATTTTTTTGGGCATACCTTATTCCAGTTATTCGGGTTACAGACCAAAATAAACAGCAAAAAATCTTAAAATCGAGCTTTTATTGAAGCATGGTAACTCGATGTACTGAAAAGAATAAAATGAGTTTTTTTCCAGAAAAGAGGAATAATTATTGGGAAAATACATTTTATACCTATCTACTTACGGAATATTGTTATCAGTGATGATGATGAATTAATTATTTTGGTGTTCACTGTGACTTGCAAGTTTTTTATTTTTTTCAAAGGTCTGGAATTGCATCAGTATAGTCTTGATTAACAATTAACGAATTTCTATGACACCAGTTTGTGAATTCGAAAGAGTTTTTTATTTTATAGTTTCTCAGGGCTTTGGGCATCCACTCTGTGTGTTGTGTCACCAGCCTTCAACACAACATGAACAGTACTCACATGGTCCTTTATCATTTATGAATTAAAAGATATAGGGGCTCAAGGTACATCCTAGAGCAACTCTTTTAGATCCATATCGGATGAACTGAGATTGAAAGTTGATTTTTACATGAATTTTCTTTGAGATCAAATACGATTTGACGTATTTTCTGTTGACTTACCTAGAGTGAAACCATGTTGAGATTTGAAGATTATGTTGTATTTATAAAAAACGAAATCAGTTTCACATGAATATCTTACCAATAATTTTACCTACTGTAATAAGTCTGTAATTCTCAATCATTTCAACATCGCCTTTTTTGAAAACGTGTTACTAATGCTATTTTGAGATTGTCAGGAAATTTTCCACTCCCAGTAGTAATATTTATTATGTTCGCTAATAGATTACTAAACGAAAGTTTTTATATGCCTCACAACTTTAGTGGATATGCAGTCTATTCCGACTGAGTTGGTATTTTTTAGACCCGAAATTATTTCACGAATATCTGAATGTATAGGCGAGAAAAAAAGCTATGTGATTCTCACAAAAGTTGCATGTTCAATGAGCGACGCTGAACTAAAATGTTTATTAATGGTATGGCCTCGCTCTTTCTGAAAGGAATTTGCCGATACATCAACAGTTATTTTTTTTATCATTAACCAGCTCAGTATTTAGTAACAATTCACTATTTACACTTTTCGTAACTTCACCTATTTTCTAGCTCATCGATTCCATTTTGGTTTTTTATTTTCCAGAGAATGTTGATAGAATGAAATTTTTTTTTCCTGCAAATTTCTCTTGTATATTTTTTGGCGTTATTATATAATGTCATCGACATTTCTAGTTAAGTGTTTTGAATAATTTTCAAGTCGAATAGTTTTGTTAGTTACCAACTGTATCTTGTTGAGTTTTGTATAAAAATTAAGAGTATTTTTTATGGGCCTACTTAGTTAATAAATTATGTAATCTTATTAAAAAGCAGAAATAATGTTAAAAATTTCATAAGCAAGTTTTAGTTTGTTCTGATTGGAAAGATAAATTTGTAGCTGAGCAATATTTCAGGATTTACATTGACGTAAGAATTTTTTTCCATTAATTCAGGTTGATATTCAAGACTTTTTCCACATAGCGTGATTCAGGAATATTAATTAGAAAGTAATCAATTTCAGTAGCACTTGTTTTCCTTCTCACATTGGTAAAAATGTTAGCGTACAAATATAATCTTTGAACTAGATCACTCAGAAGAATACGCTCCATTGATTCTATTATATACATACAATAATATATGTATATGTCGCAGCAGTCAAGAACTTCTAATAGCATATCCATTAGTATTTCGATAGTACCAGGAGGAAGGTGTTCTGTGTTCAAATGGTATTTATTTTCCTCTGTTTTGATTGCCTAAATTATGAAGTTTTGCTCAGAATGGAGGAAATTACTCATGAATGTCGAATCGTATCTACTGACAGAATTGAAGTGGTGAAATCTTCTTTTATTATCCGAAATCTCTCATAATGGAGTACCTGAAGATTCGATACAGTCGAAGTCTTCTTTACATCAAAAAATTAACAATTATTGACTTTCATTTCATTCTCTTCATTTGCAGATGATACCTCAATATCATGGCTTAAAAGCAATACTTCAAAACTTCGCAATGCCTTTTGCTCAGATATAAAACAAATCACAGATTGGAGTAATGCGGTTAACATTCAATATTTGGAAAAATCAATATACCTACTATATATGAATTGTAGTGTAGGAGATATTTTCTTAGCTTCTATGCTAATGTAATTGCGAACACATCTTGCCACAAACTTGGCATATTTATTCACAAAAAATTTAAATTTGAGGACTACAATCTTTCGCTCAATAAAAAACTGTCAGGATGTTATATACGCACCGACTGCATTCAGTTGAAACAGTGTATTATTCATTGATAAAATCTCACTTGAGATATGGAATTCCTTTCTGGTAAGGCGACGAGATTTTTGTAAGCCCCTTTTTGTGGCAAACAACATTTTGTCGTTACATGTTATTATTAAATTAAATTGCTTCCTCCATTTCTTTGGAAGTTTCCCACATTTTTTTGTATCAAGATGGAGAAGCTGAAAAGCTGATAAGGCAAGTGTCTTACGGCGAAACATAGAATGTCTACCACTGTGGATGACAGTGTTTAATGAAAGTGACATTTTACCTCTTTCATTTAAGTACTATATTGTGTAGGAATCCTGTGAATATCTGATTCAGTTCCATAACGAACTTGTCGACTCGAACAAACCGTCAAATCAGCTGAAGCCGAATATGCTCTCAACAAAACAAAGAAGGCACTCACATTATTTCATTCGAAGATACAGTAATACTCGATGAAACTCAAAATTACTAATCAAGAGTACCTATATAGAGAGGCAATAAAAATTCAAAAACAGGGATATTTTCAATAGGAAAGAAGAATCAATTAATAACAATAAAATCTGGCTACCTGTCCTCATAGGTACACAAACTATTTTGTTAGTTACTTGAGAGTATTTGAATTTGAACTGAATAAATTAAAAATTGGCAGTATGTTTTTTTGATATACCCATTCATATTTTGTAATAATTTCACCCTGATACCCTAGAGGGTTTATGACAAAATGACATAACTTTTTGCAGACTATTAAGTAAGTAGTTTTTTCCAAATTTGGTATCACCTTTAGAAGAAACAGGTACCTATACAACATTTTTGGTCAATAATTTTTTTATGTCAATAATAACTTTCTATTTTCCATATATCAAGAATAATTGAAAAATTACATGTGGATAAGGATTTCCAAATAAAGTCCATTCATTTTAAAAAATATTTAAACTCAAAAAGAAAATTGGTGGTAGGTAATCAGGTGACCCTTTCTTGAAGGAAATGAAAATTAAATATTGAAATTATTTCACCTTCAGTTTTATGTACTCAGATTTTGATGTTTTCACGTTAAAATGGTGGCTTCATTCCCAATAATTGGAAATCGGTGACAAATTTGAAGTTCCAAGTGTTCGTAATGCTTTCATCTTTATGAATAAATCAATATTTTTTTCGATACTTACTAACAAAAAATTCTTACGTATTTCGTGTGTGTTGGTACATAAAATTTATTTGAGTAACAAAAAATTTTTAATATATTGTCTACGGCAAAAAAATCTATGCTATATACCTACATGCATTTTATTTATTTAGAAATGTGCATTTATAATACATTTTTGCTATAGTTACGCCTCAATCGTTTTATTTTTAAGACAAAATTTTACGTATCTTTATATTTTTTTACAATGTTCTTACATTGAGTACATTTTGGAAGAAATACAATTTTTTTGTATATCGCAAAAAATATACGTTATTTTTAACGTTAAAATATTGCACTTGAAATTTTTTTAAATAACACTTTCCTGTTATATTTTATCGTAGAATACTAGACAAAAACCAAACAAAACTATGGCATATGTTTATAAATTCTCTCTATGGGTGGATTCTTTTTATTTGTTTCAAATTACTTAACATTAACGATATGCATTTTGTAACTTTATTCTAATTATATTTGGAAATTAAAGCTATTTGAAGATTTTTCAGTAATGTTGAGATCGAACAAAATTGAATCTATTAGATTAACTTACTGAAAACAAACTATTGGGTAGGTATTCTGATTTGAATGGAAATGATTTCTACATTTAGTAAAAATTTTGATTTCATATTGACACTCATCTGTTGAAATTAAGGCTTCCTCATTGAACTATTGTATTCTTATCAGGAAATAATTAAATCAGTACTGGCCTCTTGATAAATAATTTTAACTTTGATGCCTCTACGGAAAGAATAAAATTGTGCTTTATATACAAAAACTTTGGAAGATTGCTAAAAATTGAAGTATGACATATTACTTCGTAAATAAATTATAGATCAGTATAAAATAATGGCCTTTTTTATACCTACTAATGCCATTTAATGAAATTTAATGAATCACATTCTGTTTATTCAGTCGCAAAAAGCTTTCATACGAACGAATTTCTAAAACAGGAAAACATGTTAACAAATTCCAAACATTTTAGTAGGTACATTTCACGTAATTTGGCCATTCAGTTAATCAAAATAGTGGAAAGCACAGTATTTCGATAATAAAACTAAACAATTAAAGTGTATATCACAAAATGTTTAAAACATTTTTCTTTGCTTTTCAGCCCTGATACGAGCTAGATATTATATAATATAATAACGGTAACAGTCTTATTTAATAACTACATAAATACAAATCGAAATAAAAAAGGGAACAAAATGATGCCAATAAATAAAAAATAAATTGACAGTGGCAAGAGTTTTACCGCAACACATAATATTTTTATGAACTTCATTGGACTCGTGGATCCGAAAATTTTCAATAAGAAATTGAGGTAATTTGGAAGTCTGAAACAGAGTCTACTTTTTGTGTAAAACTAAACTGAGTTTCTGATCAGCCAATAGTCAGTAATCACAATGATTCAATAAATATTTATAATAACCTTGGGGTAATTTTTCGATTTCGTGATTGCACTTTTTATTATTATACAACAAATCTTCAACCTGTTCCTTCGCCGAGAAGTCTATGAGGTCGTCCATAATTCAACACTATCTATAAACAACAAAACAATATCGAAAGTTGCTAAACCGTCCTTTGCTTAGTACTCCCACCTTTCATCTTCATTTTCATGTTTACCCACTTTACATTCACTATCTTCATTTTTTGAGTCACCCTCATCATTTTGTTCTTCATGTTCATCATCACATTTATCTTCGCCTTTATCATGATGCTCATTTTCGTGACTTATCGAAGAAGTATCACTTTGGTCATCCTCAAATCGATCCATCACCGCTTGAGGCTCGACTCGGACTGTTTCTTCAGCATTTCTACGACCATAGTCATCACCAGTCTGCATGACGCAGACTCCGTTGATGATAACTTCGTCACCGGTAGTTGGTTTTTCCTTTTCTTCTTCCCAATTAGGATTAACCCATTGGGGCGCCACAGGCTTTCGTCGTGACGATCTCCCTTGATTTGCAGGTAATTCTTTGGGTTCTACTTTCACTTCCCCTTGCAAACTACCCCCTGAAATATTAGAGTCTTCTGAGCCTACATTACTTTCTACATCGTCATCATCGTCATAATCACCGGGCTCATGTTTCAAAGAAGGCATAGATAAATCTAATCCGCTTATCTGTTCCTTAACAACATTATTGAGGGCTGATAAGTCCATGTCACCAGTCGGTAAGAGCCCACGACTTATTAAAGCGGCTAAATTGGTATTTGCAGCTAGATAAGGTGGATATGGTAAAGGAACGCCACTCAGTCCCATCCTCTCTTTAGATAATTCAAGTAATCTTTGGTTCAAAATTAATCTAAATTGTACAGGATCGAAGGGCTGTTGACCCCCGGTTTGATCTCTGGGTGGAATATCTGAAGACAAGCCATGTGGTACTTGTTGCTTTAGTCTCATTCGGTGATTGTGAAACCAATTGGTGATAGTTCTGGAAGAGAGCCCAAGTTCACTCGCAAGGAACTCAATTGTAGCAACATTGGGGTAGGGGTCTAGAGTAAACGCCAGCCTCAAAGCTTCTTTCTGCTCTTCACTGAACAATACTCGTTGTTTTTTTGCTGATGGAGGCCCGGGTCCAGGTGAATTTGAATGGTAAAACTCTGATGTGTCATTAGAAGAGGTATCACTACTATTGTCATGTGCTCCCGGACCTGTGGATCTTCGCCTTTTGTTGGCTTCCCTTCTTTCGTTTTTGAGAGCCTGCAATCTGTCGATATTATGTGCATCATTGAGCCATAATTGCATCCTTATAAAGGGTTCCCTCCCTTTGATGCTAAGCATATGCCAAGGTTTTGGTTTTGACAGGAGTTCACTGACTGAACCTTGAGATAAACCCAGAACGGCTTCACCAAATATCTGAAAATGAAAAGTTGGAATTGATTCAACAGAATAAAAAGAGTTAAATTGAAAAAAGTGAATATCGAAGTGAAGTAGAGTTGTTTGGCAAGATTTATAGTTTGGTTATTTTCTCACCTTCTGACCAATGTTGTTTGCTAATAATGCTTCCTTGATTTTGGTGGTGATGATTTGGGTATCCAAATCTTGTGTTAGTGCCGCCATTTCGTAGACGCTAGGTGAAATATGCTGGTGCAAATTTCTCAATGATGCATGTTGTTGACCCATAGGCGAATGTGGTATTCCATGAGGACTATGGGTCGACTTTTTCATTAGATCTTGGTTCTGAAGATTGATTGCATGGTGTGGAGGAAGTCCAGGTGGCGTCAGCAGCATCGGGGGTGGAGGCGGTTGCGGATTCGACATCTGGGGCGGTCCGAGTTGGAGGGAAGGTGGTAAGATATTTTGTGATTCTTGCATTTTATTGAGAAGACCGGCTGCCTCCGAGAGCATTTTTGGCGTAGGTGGCATTGGTTTACCAATAGACGTACAAGCTGAAGCAAGTAAAAATCGTTATTTTAAAAATCCAAATTAAATGAAAATGTTTTGCTTACCTCCACCATATCCTCCGGTCCTCATGAGCTTCTCTGGGGCAATTTTGTATTGGCTTGCCACTAACTTGTGAACGGCGTTTTCATCTTCCAAGAACATTTTCATTCGTATGAATGGTTCCCGTCCCTTCTGTGTCAACATATGCCACGGCTTCGGTCTAGCTAGGAGATCGCTGACAGACCCTTGAGACAAACCTAAGACACTTTCCCCAAAAAGCCTCTGGCTTATTGAATACTGACTTAACTGTTCTTTAACTTTCTTAACGATATCTTCTGTATTGAGATTATTGTAGAGATCGAATTGCTGTTGTGTGATTGGAGGTAATACTGCTTTAAGAGGTCGGTTGTTAGGGGTGTGATGAGGTTGACTTGGTGGCTGTGATATGAGGGAGTTTGTGATGCTGGCCATTCTTTGTAATGGTGACGCAGCCGCTGAACCAGAGAAATCATCCGTTGGGGTCATAGGAGGTAATATAGAGTTGCCTAATGGGCTCGAAGTGGTGGAACCTGTATTAGGTTGTGTGCCAGGTTCTATTTTAGGTCTCACTAAACTGAATGCTGAACCCGAATGACGAGACATTGCATCATCATCTTTTTCTTTTTCATCCAATACTCCATTCATCATCTTCATTTTGTCTTTTGGAATAGACAAGTCTTGTACACCGCCGTTTGCGCTCTGGTTATGATGTAGATGATGTTGCTGTTGATGATGCTGCTGTTGGTGATGATGGGCTAATGCTTGTTGTTGGATGGCAAGAAGGCTAATTGGCATTTGCGTAGGACCCTGCCCTTGGTTGAGTTTGGCTAGTTCACGATGATATGCGTCAAGAGCTATACGTATATCCTCTTGGGTACGATCCATTGGGTTTCCACTAAATAATTGAGGAAGAAAAATACTGAATATTAGTTTAGCACTGCCCTAATTTAGAATAAATTGAGTTTAATTTCATTACACTGTTATTTCCCAATTTTAAGTAATCGAAAATAATAAACAATATACACTCACTCAGGGAAATTTCCTTCCCGGCTTCTCATGTCTTCAATTCTTCGACCCATAAGTTTGGCAAGTTCCTCCTGATAAATCCGTACTACTTTTTCTTGGGAAATATCATCATTTTCGTATTTTTTCAGCCTTCTATTCAAAGACGAGTCTCGGGAGAATGGACTGCTACATCCATGGGGGGATTTAGAGTCTTCATTACTGTGACTATCTTCAGGTTGTTGGTGTTTGATTTGCTGAAAGTGATTCGCCTCGTTCAAAATGTGCACCAGTCTGTCATCTGTGAGGTCGTTTTCTGGTCTTCCGAAAGGTGGCATTCCAGATTCTGATTTGCCTGTTGATGAAAAATTGTCTGTAATAGCAACGTTAAAATTTCTTAGTATTTTGCTGATTAGTAAGTAGAGATAAAACGATGCACATATAAAATACAATGACTATACCTGACAGTTCGCAAATTTATGCAAACACACATGAATTCGATATTGTTTGTACCCAGAAATTTATCAAATATTCGTGAGATGGAAATGCGAAATTTCGTTCGACACAAAATGATTTCGTTAAGAATTTCAACAGTAAATTGACAAATTAGGAGAACTGTTACAATATGCTGCAATTAAACCGCCAACATGGAATGTGAAGAGCTTTCAGTTTGTATCTCATTAACAGCTGCGATTACTAATTGAAGGGCACTAAAGACAAATGGTCTTTTCAATATTGCTCATCGATTGTATTCCGCCCAGAAAAAGGATTTGAAATGCATTTGTTGAAAATACATGTGCTTTTTGCATTCCCAGTTCACTGCAGAGAATATAATTGGCGATACATTGTGAATGACACGTTGAATGGCCATAAAAATGTGCAGTAGCCTTTGTGATAATCGGATTAACAGACATTATTTGGATACCTAAAAAAATGCTTCGATTGTTTCACGGAAGTTCGCCGCTGACAAATTCATATTTTGAACACTGAGTATGTTTTGTTTTCACTACCAAATTATGCGGGTTCCACATTGAAATGATTGAGTGTTCTACAATATGAATAAGGGTTGAAGCACTTGATGTAGAGAATGAAACAGAGTTGTTTAAGACTGCTTTAGTTTATTCTGGCAAATAATGATAGAAAGTAAGTATTTCATAATAGGTAGCAGAACTTACAATAAAACCTCTCTCCTATTATTATTGCCAAGATTAGAAACTGTTCTTCTAATTGTGAGACAATGTTTTCTTTCAGATGACATTTTAATATTTGTGTTTATATCCAGTCCGACTTCTGAGCGTTTCATATAATAATCTACATTTACGCGATGTCTCCTCTACAATATAATTACTTTTTCATGGGAGCGAGCACGTAACATATTGTCAACAAGTGCTCTCACTGTGATTATTTGATCTCTTAAAATACACGGTAGTTCTTCGAGGTATCAATTTGAGTACAGTTAACCTAAAAATGGATAAAATGAGATGATATCTTCATCCAAACAACTGACAATTTAATGGATTTCTTAAAAATTCTAATTGTCTTGTGATTATTATCTCGCAGTTACCGTTGTTTTATATTATATCGTTTTGATACATCATCGACCAGCATGACTATGAACGAATGCTGAAAAGCCCGTTGCATGCTTAAACGAGAAAAACGTCATATTATTATCACGAGCAAATGAATTTTGAACTAGCTAGAAAACCAAATCTTTTGGGTAATTAAAAGTTGAAAAATCCACTATTTTAGGAACCCGCCTCTGGTAATATAAACTCGTGAAATTGCACCAAATTTTCACCGAACCTTTATTGCCACTTCCATTTGAACACTTTTTTCAATCACTAAACTATTTACAAAACCGTAATGCGTGTCGAAATGTTGACACCTTCAATCCTCAATGTTACTTATTCTTGTAGGAAGCCATTGCATAGCAAAACACGTGTGGTGGTTTTGGTAGTAGTTATTACAGTTATTCTACTGATATCGGTAGGACACCATAGACATATATGAGTTGCTTGCTTTCATACACTACATGGTTCGTTGGTTCGTATGTAGTGATAGTGGCATAAGATGGCTAGATCAAAACATCATTCACAAAAACGCCTTTAGATTTGGTCCAAGAAACCACTAGGCATACCTGATAATTTAGGCTTCTTCAGGAAAAAAGAATTCGCTGATCATAATCGTGAAATATATCGTAGAGGGATAGATCACAAAAACTCCAGTTTGTACAAAAGAATGTGATTCGTGAATAATCCGATCAGTGCAGTGGCACCTACATCCTGATAACTTCGACAATTGCGGAAAGAGATGGAATGATATCAAAGGATGCAATCTTGCCAGGATCACCCTGGGCGACCATAGGAAGCTGGCGCCGAAGAAATATCTGGGGATGACCAGGAAAAATCTACTCTTAAAACAGTAGGATTTCTGACTGGCCACTGTCAACTAAGGAAACACCTCTACAATATGGAGCTAGTGGACACACCTCTATGCAGGATGTGTGAACAGGAAGATAAAAGTGTCAGGCATGTCCTATGCGAATGACCGGAGTTATCGTCAATAAGAGAGTGTGTTCGGGGAGTCTTGCCGATATAAAGGAGATGTCTCCCAGAGACCTGTCCACCTTCCTGGAAAGAACAGGATGGACGATGACCTAGGAGGACAACTCCTCGGGAGGATGTGCAATGGGTCACATGTGGCCTAAGTGCTGTGGGCCTACACTCATCCTCCCTACTGTACAGATACAGAACCCTATCAGTGCCCAAAGAAAAGTGGGTATGAGGGGTTCTCGATTGGAGATTGGTATCATCAGCGGTTTACTCAAAAGTGACAATAACTCGTAAAGTGGTCTTGTTTCTGGTACCAATGGAAATATCTAGCAATATGTTCCTTTCAAATATTCACATTGAGCCAATTGCATTCAGAAACGCAATCACTTTATAAACCGCCGATGATAGTAAACGTCAATCTAAAACGCCTATGTTATTCAACTGTTTGAGAAATTACTAAAATGAGGATTTTGCTTGGATATTCATCCTATTCACAATATCTTGGAGAAAGATTTGATTGTTATTATTCTGATGTTAATTGGGCAAACTCCTTCCTTTAATTTTTCCCTAATTTTCTAGAGAAATTATAGTTTTTCTATACGTCATCCTTTCTTCATGGTATTTTGGAAGGTAGACAAAAATTTTGATTCCGATGGATTTGAAATTAAGTGGAAATATATTGAATAGCAATATTTCACCTCATTCCTGAGTGGCCGCAGTTTACATAGAATAATAAACCGTTATTTAATTGACATTGATGAGACATTTCAAGATAATATACGGTGACCAATGACTTGAAATTCTAAAATTTGTCCGTTGGGACAACGATTCAAGTGTTGAACAGTTGCCAGAGAATTTTCTTCATTAAAATTGTTGCCTCGATTGCTTTTGTTGTGAAGCATCTTTTCCAATCTGGCTCATTAATTCCAAACAATAAATTTTCGCAAATGACACTTAGATCAGAACAAACGTTTACTTCTTTTATACGATTTTTTCATCTCGCCGTCGCTGTACGTGTGTCTCTTCTCATTATAACAACCATTGCGTGCGTTCCGTATATTTCATATCAAAGGTATTTATTTTTTGTACAGATATAATTTCGAAACATCGTGAGTTCTGAGGATAATTATGGATAGATCCAAATTATCAAAAATATTCTCGATCTCTGACACGACAATGTTAACGATTTCTCATTTGGTTAGTTCATACAACTATACAGGACGAGGCAAGAACGTTACAAGTGAAGCATGGTGGTTTGATTTCCTTTTTTAGTTGATTTATATATTTATCACTTAAATCAAGCACTATCAGTTTATGATAACTCATTTCATGATTAAATTATTTTGACAGCTAATTGTGTAACATGTATTTAATACTTAAGAAGAAGAATTAAGAATTTATGTGTTCTTATAGGACAAAACTGCCCGATAATAATTTTTGATATTTTCTTTTCGGAAAAATTTCGTGTTTAGTGCAAATGAAATCTGAGCCGCCAGTGTGTTTTGGGTTGTGAGCTGGAATTTTAAGAAGGTGACTTTTGCTATGTTTTATAGATCTCTGGGATTTTTTTGATATTTTTGCTCGTCTCGAAAATAATCGGGGTTCATTTTCAATGAAAAGTATCGCTGTCATTTTGATTAGTGCAGTTTGGATAATATTTCACTTAAAGAAAGGTACCATTCAAATGGGCGTTAAAAGTGTGTTCCCTTGGAAACGTTTCGTTAGAGAAATATTTGTTGGGAAACCCTGTATACATTAGCTTTGCTAAAATGACGTGGGACTAATGTTCTGGGATCTTACTGTTTTCAAATTTTCACTAAGATGAATATGTTGGATATAGAATGCTTTCTCAGGTTGCTTTTTTGTCTGGCTTTCTCCACCAAAAGTGCATTTTTGACGAAATGAGGTTTTTTGTCTTGTCTAATATTACTCCTTTCTGGGTTGCGTTAATAATCTTCCTCTTGTCGATAGAGCATAAGAATGATCATCTGTTTAAAATCTGTTTAAAATCTGTTTAAAATCTGTTTTTCCGTTAACCAGCTGTCGCACCCCTACGAACGACAACCCTCAGAAGTCGAAACTTGTGCGAGCTAAGGATTAACGAGGTCTTACCTTTTAACGTGTGATTCCTAACACGGGTTGGACGGTAGCAAGTGAAGATCGATCGTTCAGACTAGGGCTTGAACCACCGACCAACACGGCAGTCAATTCGAGTGAGTGAACAAAGCACCCACGCTGAACCGCTTGGCTACCGACTGACCGTGCGGTAGCCAAGTATTAAATTCATGTAATCATGAATTTAATACTCTGATTCGTTCAATAATCATTTCGAAACATAAACAACAAATGACAATAAGAAAAATGTATCAATGTTTTGTTTTTATTCAGAAATTTTTCAAAAACTTTTTGATATTTATCGATTATATTTGTAACTATCTCGAACATTTGCTGCTTTGTGTTAATGATACGAAAAACAATGCTTCATTTCTCTAACAGAAGCTAATCGTGTCCCTATACAATGGATAAAGTGCAACACCGATCGGAGAAGATGTCAATTAAATAGCGATAAAGTTTGAACATTATTACCGATGACATGACGCGAATCTTCGAACGGTAACGAGAAAATAATTGCGTTTAAAAATTATCAAACGAAATCACCTATAATCAATTTCATAAATGATCACAAGCCCTAAAAAATCGTTGTCGATCCCGATGGAATGTAATTTAAATCTCATCATTATTACCTAATCATTGGTTCGTTCTTTCAAAGATATTAACAAAATGAAAACATTGGAATGTGCTCGATACCTAACATGGAGAA